TCTTTCCCTGACTTAAAGAGAAGTGAGACTAGGTCTCTCCCTGATGAAACTGCTGCCCGCCCTGGCCTCCCCTCACACAGAACAGACTGCAGGTCTGCCCCCAGCTCTCTGGTTCTTCACAGCCCCTCCGACACCTCTGGTCCGTGCTCCCCTGGCTCACCCCACTCTAGTCCTCGCGGCCCCCTTGCTGGTCTCTGAGCGACCCACATCTGCTCCTGCTTCGGGGCCTTTGCGCATACACCCCCCCTTGCCCAAAATGCCCTAGCACACCTCTTTTCATTTCTCAAGCCTCGGCTCAGATGGCACTTTCTCCAAGAAATCTTTCCCGCTTGCTCTGGCTGAGAGAGCACATCCCACCCCTCTCCACCCCCAGCCCCAGTGCACCTTCACCACCCTCACCACAGCTGCATTCTACTGAACATATTTATTCGTGTCCTCAATTACTGCCTGTCGCTTCTACCAGAGTCTAAGAGTCCCTGAGAACAGCCACCACTTCCAACTCATTCGCCGCTGGGTCCCACCCTCCAGAACAGGGCCCGGCCCATGGTAGCTGCTTGGTAAGCGTCTGTGCAGTACGCAGGGGTGAGAAAAAGGAGGCCAAAACAATGCCCAGGTCTCCAATGTTCACAATTCCCCGGACAGCAGTGCCACTCACTGAGACAGAGAGAGAGTAGGTGTGGGGGAGGGGATTGGTAGTTGGTCTCGGTAAATGCCGAGTTTGTGTTTGCTGGGGGACCTCCATGGTGGCCCACACAGGCTGGCGGGTTTTCAGATGAGTGCTCTGGACTACAGTGCGAATTTGAGAGTCAGAGGCACACTGGCATGGGTGAAAGGCAGCCCAAGGAGAGCAGAGCACGAGACGTGCACCGAGGCCCGAGCCTGAGGGGCAACATCCCAGGGGAGGGCAGGAGAGAGGGGCCGGCAGCCAGGGAGAGAAACAGGAGAAAAACTGAGCCCAGTGACCTGGAGGCCAGCAGAAGCCTGCTGAGGAGGAAGTGATAGTGGGGTCAGAAGCTACAGAGAAGCAAGAAAAGAGATAAGGGCAGAGGAGTGTAGTGAAGGGCTTTCTGTCAGCTAAGTATGGCCATGCTGGTCTCCTTGGCAATCAGAGGTTCTGGGGTAGACAGATGTGCCCTGATGGGGAATCAAACCTATAACCCTGCTGTTGCACAGGACGACGCTCCAACTGAGCAACTGAGCCAGGGCCTGGTTGTGAATTTCTTGATGTGCTATGACCTTATTTTGGTTTAAATGCAGTCTACGCAGGAGGCAAACTTTCAAAGCATGCGCTCTGTGGGGAGTGGAGTAATAAATAACACGATGGCTGCCTCAGGTGCTTCCCACCAGGCAGGACTGACCATGTTTCTCCTGGGCTACCATGTCCTCATGGTGGCTCCTGAGATCAAATTGGTCCCCTCTGGCCCTCTTTCCCGTCTGGACATCCTCAACACCCACAGCCCTTCTCTTGCCGTCCTCCACACTCCAGCATTACCCAAAACTTTTGGGGGGCTCCTCACCATTTGAGCCCATTGCAACACTTTCTTGCCCATTTGACTGCCAGCTGATCACCTTTCTAGCTCTTCTCAGAAGCACCATAATAATCTCTCCAGCCAAAACTGAGGCTGGGTAGTTGTATTACCTGGGGCCTTGTCCATGCCCTATGGCTAACTAGACCTGACTATCTGGACCCTTGTGCTTCTCCAGCCAGATTTCCAGGACCATGGGTGCTAGTATGGACTGCAAGCCCAGTATGGTGAAGGCACCTGCCTAAGGTCACACCACTGAGCTCTGACCTCAGCCATAACTCCACAGTCACAGTGAGATGGTCAGCACGGGGCTCAGTGCACATTAGGTGCTGCTGAAGAGACAAGTGAGCTGTGACAGGCAGTCTGTGAAACCCCTGGGGACCTGGTTGCCAAGGTGGAAGCAAGAACATATGCTATCAGGACTTAGGGACCCATCTTGCACCCACCCAGCCTTGGCATACCCTGTCTTTCCTTGCCTCTAAGACGACTGGGGAAGGAAGCCCAGCACTGGGAATCACTAGTTGTTGACTCTGAGTGGCACCCAAGGCAGGAAACCCACTCAAGGAACTCTGGGAAAGTGCTGGGGTGGAGAGTAAGACGGGGAGCAGCAGCCACTTCAACTTCACTTTCCCCTACTTCTGAGCTAACTCCTGTTTGCCCCATCTCGGTCTGACACCCACGGTTCTCTCACTGATCAACCTGGGGCTTAAAGTTTAATGTTGTTGGGCCTCTCCTTGTTGCTCCTAGATGCAAGGGGCCAGATATTCCCTTGCCTTCCATCCAGCAGGATGGATTAGAGGGAAGGCAGCAGACACTTCTAAAAGGATTTAAGAACTCTCTACGCAGCTTTCTCAGAAAAGACACCTGGGTCTTAGTTATGTCCAACTCCCACTTCGTGTCTCAGACTTGTCACTCCCTCCAGGGAGCCTTCCCTGACCCCCAGCTGAGGCTGAGTCTCCCTATTCTACCCTCACTGCAGCACCACTGCAAACTACATTTATTTGCTTTTTTTTTTTTGAAATCAGTGTCCCTCACCCTCAGACTGTGAGCTGCAGAACACCACCTGACTCTGCTCACCCAAGGCGGCCCAAGGCTTAGCACCCTGCCTGGCACCTAAGAGGTGCTCCTCAAATTATCAGCTGAATGAACAAATGGTTCTGGGTTCACTCAACCTACCACTTCTGTGACCAGTGTGACCCTGAGTGGGTTACTTCTCCGTGCCTCAGTTTCTCCCCTTTGTAAAATGGCTCTCCCACCACCCACCTCGCCTAACCCCTGTAACTTAATGTCACAACGAATGTTAATAAATTCATAGAGATTGGCAGACAGACACAGCCAGATAAACAGAAGCTTGCACTAGTCCCAGGGGGCGGATCTGGCCCGAAGACACACTGGTCCCGACCTGCCTCACCACCTCTGGCCCAGGGTCGCGCAGCCGCTCTGTTCTAGATCTGGCTCCCAAGCAGGCTTCAGCTCGCCTTCCCCACGGCCCACACGGAGGTCTGAGACCCCGGCTCACAGGAAAAGCGAGACTGGGCAGACCGGTTGTCAAGCACGAGGGTAAGACCGATCGGTTTCTTTGCATAGGACCAGGGTGGGCCCCACTGGGCGGTTACCCAGCAACAGCTTTGGTCCCCAGGGATGAGGTCCTCGCCGGTTGCCTGGCAACAGGGTGGGGAGCCCTCCGTACCTTGCCCTTCAGGTCCAACACGTAAACGGCACTTGCGGACATGGCGGCTGCGGGAAGTCTCGGCAGTGGCCGAGGGTGGTGGCGACAGCAAAAACTGCCAGGCGTTGAGGAAGCCTAGGCACTCCCCGCGACCGTTCGCCTCCACTTCCGGTCCCGAGAGTCGCGCGGGACCGTTATGTCCGGTCGGGGGAGGAGCTGCCAGAAATGCGCAGGCGTGGGGCGGAATATGCGCAGGCGCAATACGCCCAATGAGACTATATTTCCCACTCCCACCTAAAGCATCCCGGAAGTAAGACCCAGAGGGGTGGGGTCGGGCGGAGCCAACTGATAAGGCGGCACCCTTTAGCTGCCCAGCCGGGCAATGAAAACTTAGTAGCTGGGAACTCCGACCTGTGAGCTTAGGTAGGTGAGAGATCCCCCTGCTGGATCCATGTGGGGCCCAGCCCTATGGAACTATTCTGGTGGGGGAGTCCAGGAAACAAATGTGCAGTCGCCGACTGTGATACATTTTACGGGAAGGGGTAAGGTTACTTGGAAAGAGGGCAAACAAATCCTGAGTGGCAATCAAGCCTAATCAACAGTCACTACCTGTCATCTGTTAGTGTCAACATTCGTCAGCGAAAAAGCCTGTATTTTCTGGAGTGATCTTAAAACCACACCCCATTGAAACTGGGCGAAAAGCACGTTTTTATTTCGGTAGTTAAGTGACCCCTAAGATTAGTCAGTTGAATTGTATATCATTCGCTTTTACTAACATTTAGGCTGTGGAAAAGTGCCTGCATTCTGTGCCAACGAACCATACAGTGCCTTGGTGATCCCAATCACAGCCATTAACTCTTGCTGCCTGCCTCAGTTTTGGTCGTTTCTCCTTATCTCTCTCTGGGGCTTTGAAAGATGGCTTTTGCAGTATGTCCTCTGCTTAGGATAAAGATCAAGTGCAGGAAAACCCAAGAACACTGGAATATTCCCTAGTCTGGAAGCAGTCTTGCACAAAGCAACCCAGAGAAGCTTCTTCACAATCTTAAACACACACTGGGTGACGTGATCTGTGTTGGTCAGTGAGAGAGTACGTGGAGAAATCTCGAAGATGAGATGCCACCCTGAACTTTCTGGTCCCAGGTAAGTCAATGCCGCTATACAAGGGAACTAAACCACACCACATGGAGTAGGACCACCTGGCTGAGCACAACCAACAGAACTGGGAAATCCTGTAGTTTTAAGCCACTTCATTTTGAAGAGGTTTATTAGACAGGGAGAATTGGAATGTTAATCTTCCACATACTGACTTCTTGCTGTACATCATGCTTCAGACCCCAACTTCTGGCTCATGAATTAAAAAAGACCTGCAGAGCCCTGGATGGTGTGGTTCAGTGGATTGAGTGCTGGTCTGTGAACCAAATGGTTACTGGTTCGCTTCCAAGTCAGGGTGCATGCCTGGGTTGCAGGCCAGACCCCCAGTAGGGGGCACACAAGAGGCAACCACACATTGATGTTTCTCTCCCTCTCTCCTTCCCTTCCTCTATCCCTAAAAATAAATAAAATCTTAAAAAAAAAGTGACCTGCAAGTGCCTTTACACCAGGCGATAGGGGAGGCTACCCAAAGTAGCCAGAGCTCATGAGTATGTCACCTCTTAGGTGGATTGTGAACCACAGGTGGAAACACATCTAATTTTCTCCAAATTCAGGGCAAGTGGTCGTTTTGCAGTATACACTTTTTGTGTGCAATATGTATCAAAGGCAGAGTTTCTAGTGATAAAACAGCCTATAATTTAAAACACTCAGACTTATACTTAATAACTGGTTTGCTTTATTCTCCATATCACATAAGATAGCCACAAGTCCAACACTTAGAATTCTCTTCTGAATCTGTTTTTTTTTTTTCCCCGTTTATGTCAATGAAGACCGTTTCTCCCACTCTGATCCTCCTGCACTGGGGACAAGCAGGCCCCCCAAGACCCTGGCTTTCCAGTACTGGAACCTGGGCCCTCCCCTTGGGCTGCACCCATATGTCTGTGCTGGGGCTCTGTGCTGGTCCCATCACCCCGAGGTGTCTTTAGGCCAGGAATACCTAATAGGTTTCAATGTACGTGCCAACTCTGAATAAGCTTTGGGGGCTGCTGGGAACGCAGGGACAAGGGTAGTGAGGCAGCTGGTATCTGGGTTCCATTACAAAGAACACGATACTTGACTGGCAATACCTGCCATGGCAACACCCACTTGCCATGTCTGGAATGGGGACACTGGGAGAACAGGCTACATGCTGGCCACCACCAGCTCAGCTCAGAAAGGGGCAAGGTGTCTGTCCCATCCTTGCCTTGGGTGATCGTTATCCCTGGCCAGGTAGCTCAGGAGGCAGTCTGAAGGCCACAAAGCTGCAAGTGGCTTCCCCAGGCCCTGGGTGGAAAAGCATGAGCCCCAGGCTAGAGGGAGCTTGGAAGGGCAGCCCACGCAGGGCCCTGTAGGGGTCTGCATGCTGCAGCTTCTTTCTGGAGTCAGTTTCATCCAGGCAAGGATAGGTGGCTGCCTGTCAAAATGAGTTAGATGCAACTTGGGTGTAAAAACACTTCCGTAGCACTTACACAGAAACAACCTTAATCTCTGGATAAACTCTCAATGATTTCCAATCCAAATTAAAAAGGTTCATCTTCAATGTGCTACTGAGAAACTGAAATAGAATAAAAGGATAGTCTTAATTTAATCAAGTTCCAAAATGAGGGCACACTGTTTTGATAAAGCAGTCTTAGCAGAGGAAGCAAAGGTATATGTAAAAGAATGTTTCCAGAAAATGCTAAAGGCACCAACCATAACCCCAGCTTGGCCTCCCATGTCCCCTCGGTGCCACTCCATACCCAGGGCAGGAAAACTACTTCGTCCAGCTGACTTTGGGAATGTCATAGTGCTCCGTGAGTGTATCCAGGTGTCTATTGAAGTCCTGGGAAAGCCAAGGAAAAAAAGCCCATGTCATCACGGCACCAAGCAGAGCACTAGGGACATGTGGCACCATCCACCTCCACTTCTCCACATCCTGTTTCCCCTCAGTGAGCCTGCCCTCTCAAAGCCACCCAGCCAGGCCTCACAGCCGCCTAAACCCTGCCCTCTCCCTTCAGTGACCCCAGAGAAGTTGAGTAAATCCCTCCCCACTGACACTGCCAACAGCTCCTCTGCCAGGCTCTAAGCTTCTGGGCCCAGCTGGGACCTACGTGGCTCAGACTCCCCCACTGGGTGTGAGACTTACCTCCACTCTTTGCTTGTGAGTTTTGGAGGCTTTCTTTAGGATCCTTTCCATTTGCTGAAGAGAGGAGAGAAATGCAAGTAAGTCACATGCTCGACACAGGACAGAAGATGGGAGCCCTGGCTGGCCTGGCTCTTATACCTAGAACAGCTAGAGGTCCCAAGCCCCACAACTCCACTCAGGCTGGTCTGACAGGGACCCTTGGCTACAATACAACCCACTAGAAACCTAGGTCAGTCTCTTTGGTCAAGCTGCCCTTTGGTCTGAGAGGCAGGAAATGCACTAGTGCCAACTTAGGTAGACTCAGCTAGGAGCTGTACAAGTGCTTCCTGCTTCCTTGGGCAATTGACAGATTTCCAATCTTGCAGGAAAAAAAAAGCACCAGATGGGGTTTGAGGAAGGATAAGAAATGAGCAAAGAGCCTGACACCCAGCAGGTGCTTAAGTGACAGTATCCCCGCTGATGCTCACAGTGCCAGGAGGGACACAAGATCCTCCACTTTTGTGAGTGATTCTAGATTATGCACACAACAGGCCCATGACCTGCCCCACCACTCATTCCCGATACCCAGTGGTACGTGGTAAGAGTTGAGTGTGGAATGCAGAGCCAGGCAGACCTGGGGCTGTACCTGGCTCTACACTTACCAGCTAGGTGACTGTGGCAGCCTCACTTTGGTGGCCCACCCCTACCCCTGTACAGCTAGGAACTGCACTGCCTGGTATCCATGGCCTTGTGCAGTTGTCTGCCACATTGACTCTGTATTGGCCCTGTGACTCAGTTTACTTAACAGAATGTAGCGTCAGTACTAGGCTGAAGCCTTAAGAAGACCCAGCATCTTCTGCTTCATGCCCTTGGAAGTCAGCTACCCTGCAGGAAGTCTGATGACCTCGTTGAAAAGAAAGGACCTGGTAGATGAAACGACGTGTGGGGAGAGAGGCCATGAAAGGAGCACTGAGACACTGGACACATGGTAGCAAAACCATCTTGGATGTTCCAGCCCAGGCGGGCCTCCAGCCCCAGCTGCCGTCTGACTGTGCCAGACTCATCTAAGCAAGGTCGGCAGCACCACCCTGCTGAGCCTTCAATCCACAGACCCACGAGCTGCCACCTGGCTGTGGCTCCCTGTCCCTCCTCTTCTCCTTTGCTGCCTCATCTTCTTCTGACTCCAGTCAGCTGCCAGCTAGCTGACCCTCCCTCTGAAGTGCCTGCCCTGTCCATCCCTGCCTCTCTTCCTGCTGCTGTGAGCCCACATGAGGCCTGTGTCTCCTCACAGGAGGCCAAACTGACTTCATCAGCTGTTACCAAAGCCAGGCCCTTGGCAGGGCTCTGCCTTCTGTCCCCCAGTCCATGCACCAAGTTCCAGGATGTCTTCCGTGCTGTCACCATCACCATTTCACACACGGAGAATATAAGGACCAGAGTTCACAGGGGGTGAAGGGCCTGGAGATACCAAGAGGCCCACCCCAAAGGCCCTGCACCCAGGAGCCAGGAGCCATCCAGCCTTTGTGCTCCCTGTGCTCAATCAAACACCTTCCACGAGAGAATCTGCAATGCCCAGTTGTACCTAGCTTTGCTCATATTCCCCTTCTCTCTCATTCACCTCATCTCTCTCTCCCGGGTCAAACAAAACCAGGAACAGGACTTTTGGTTTTAAATGCCAACAGCAAAAATTTCCTCTTGACTTTCTACCACGTCCAGCTACAGGCCTATTTTTCTGTTGCCCCTGACAGTATATCTCCCAAGGGCCACTTCTAGTACTCCTCTGCCTTTCCCCACCTTCACCCGAATCCAACTTTCTCTTTAAATTTATTTTAAATTATAGTTGCCATACAATATTACATTTAATGATTCTTTCTTCCTCCTCATTCCAAATGCCAACTAAGGGTCTCAGTTTTCACCCCACAAAACCTCTTAGAAGCATATGACCACTGATTACTTCCTCCTCCTGGAAACACTTTCTCCCCTCGGCTGCTACAAACACACTCTCTCCTGGTATTCCTCCTTCCCATGCTCCCATGTGATTGCTTCCATGTAATTTCTTCTCTGCCACCCTCTAATCACCAGAGATTAGACCTTAGACCTCCTCTCTGTCACTGTCTCTGCTCATAAGAGTCTGTTTAGTCCCACAGCCATTGCAAATATCCATCTGGGGCCCATCTCCACAAATCTGCAGATTCAGATATCAAAGTGTCTGTGAGAATTCTCCACTCAGATTTCTAACAAGCACCTCAAATTTAACTTTTCTAAAACTGACATCTTTGAACCTGCAACCTTGGTGTAGTGGGATGATGCTCTAACCAACTGAACTACCTGGACAGGGCTAAAACTAAGGTCTTGATACCTTCCCTTAGAAACCTGTTTTACCCACAGTCCTTCCTATCTAAGTGGTACCTTCATCCACACAGCTTCTGCCAAAATTTTTGGTCATCCTTGATTCTTCTTTCCCAGCCCACGTCCAATCCATCATGCTGCTCTTACTTCAAAATCTATCCCAAACCCGGTATCTGTCATAGCTTCCACTATTACCACCTGACCTTTTAGTTTGCATTAGCTTCTCCCCTATCTCCCCCCTGCTCCAAGAGTACCATCCCAGCCCAGCTTCTGCCTATGATCTGAAGGAAGGGACTTGAGTGCATTCACTTGCTAACTCCTCACCCGAAACCAATGAGCTGAGGACATCAGCCCCATTTACAGATGAAGAAACTGAAGTTGGAGGTTAGCCAACTTGCCCTGACTTATACCGCCAACAAATGGTAGAGAGAGTGGAACCCAGGTCTGTCTTGCCAAAGGCAGTGCATCTCTTTTTTCTGTTTTTGGTACGAATGAATTAGACATGAGAGCAATGAGGAAACTTTCCTAATGTCACTGAAACAAATCACCCAGACAGAGTTAGTTTCTCAGCCTGGGCACTACTGATGTTTTGGTCAGATCATTCTTTCCTGTAGGGGGCGCTGTCTCAACCACTGTAGGACATTCAGCAGCATCCTAGGCCTCCTCCATCCAGTAGATGCCAGGAGCCCACAGCCTGAGTTGTGACAAATAAAATGTCTCCATTGTCAAAAGACTTCTTGGGAATGTCAGTAGGGGGACAAAACGGCCCTCAGCTGAGAACCTAGACCTATTATTCCCTAATCCCCAGCATAACAGGCCAAGCTAACGTCTAAAGCTGATCCTTCCTATCCCCCACTGCCTATATTTATTAAATGTTTAGTATTAAAACAATTAATTTAACAGAGCTTGAAAAACATATTTGAATCTGACAACAAAGCTGTCATGGAAACAGACTTTGTAGTGACCTACAGCAGGAAGCATGGCCATTTACTATCAACAGCTGACATCAACTGAGCATTGACTTTACACCAGACCTCGTTAAGAAATGCTTTACTTGCATTTCAAAAGTAAAAAGTACTATCCTGACCCCTACAGATGTGAAAGCTAAGGCACGGGCCCAGGTGAGTTACTGGCCCGGTGTCACAGGGCAAATGAGGGGCAGCACTGGAATCCAAAGCCGGGTCTGCAGCTCTGCCTCCCTTCAATCACACCTCTACCTCTTTGCGGGGCTGTCCGGGTTTCGAGTCTCCCGGCCCTTCCTAAGCACCCATTTCGAGAGACCCAGGCCTAGGGAGCAGGGTACACCCAGCCTATCCATCCCCCTAACCCGCTTCTCCTGCATCTTCTCGAAAGCCGCCTGGGCGGGGGTCCGCTTGTCCAGGCCGCGCCGTTTCTCCTCCTCGTTCTTTTTGCTCGTTCCCATGGCTTCCAGGAGTTTCGCCTTGTCTTTATCCTTCTTTTTCTTCTTCCTGGGTGGGTAGAGGGAACAGGAATGAGGGACATGAGGTAAAGTCGGGTCAGAAAGCAAGAGCCTGGGGTCTCGGAAAAAGTCTTAAGGGGGCGGAAGATGAGTTCCCGCGGGGTCTTCAGACTCACCGCTTGGTCACGCCGAGCTCTGCGACGCCTTTCAGCTTCAAGGGCCCTTTTTGGACCTGCTCGTAGGCCGCCATGGAACCTGTCCGCAGTTCAGTAGGTAAACTGCCTCACTTCCTGTCTGAGAACACTACATCCGGCAGAACTTCCGCCTCACTTCGTCTTGATTGGCCGAGCTAGGCGGTGTTCCTGCGCCTTTGGCATCTGACCCAGGCCACACTTCTAGGTTACCAGCTGGGCCTGGAGAGCCGGGCTCTGCGGCCTCCTTTGCATTCTGTTTCTTGACACACTTCCGGCTTTCAAACCCACTTCCGGTTTTTCTGCTTGGGGGCCCTACCCGCGACCAGTGAAGCCAATTTGACAAATCCCATTTCTTAAAGCCCGAAGTCTTTTTTGTGTGTTTTGCGTGCATTTGGATATCCTGTCTCTTTTATTGCCATATTTTGAGGGTTCAATGGGTAATATGCATTTTAAATTGTACTACTGTTGCCCAGATTGTGCCAGGGACTTTGGGAAGGAGGAAGATAGCGGATGAAGGAGAGAGAAAAAAAAGCAAGCATCCCCAAAACTAAACGACATTGGACAAAGAAGTCTCGGTGCCTGCATTTCCCACGTCTACCTGAAGGGGGCAGCAAACGACTGCCCAATTCTCCAGCCCTAGGCTCACCCTTTGGCATTCCAGAATTGGATGAGTGCCAAAAGAAAAGAATCTCGGCTTCTTCTTGGAGCCGTCCGTGACAGAATCAACTCCTCAGAGAGGGGCAGAACAGACTCAACTTGAGAATTCTATTCTCCCCCAGCCAACCCAGCAGCCAACAAAGCACTTCGAAGCTTTGTGCCTAGGAGAAAGTGCCTTGATGCCTCTGTCCTTCCCTTCCCTCCCAAATTGGGGATGATGATAACAACTAACACTTTATATGAATTTACATGAATCATCTCATTTACCCTCACAACCACTGTATTACTTTGAGTCTAAGTCTTAGCCCATCCTGATTTTGTAGGCAGGGAAACTGAGGCACAACTGTACTCCTCAGCTGAGTGTTCCATCCTGGCTTTTGTCACCACACTATGAAACCATCTATTGTAAATGCGTGTAAATACATTTAAGACAGCATTTCTCAGTCTTTTTTCTCATTATCATTCCCTTCAAAAGAACATTCTACCTCAATTTTAACTTAATTTAATGAGAGGAAATACTGATGAATAAGATTTTGTCTGGGTCGATGGAGCTTTGAAAGGCTATAAACCATTGAAATATCTTAACACTTTTTAGTCCCACCCCAAACCAATTTTTGGCCATTTGTGGGTAATACTGCCCCATTGATAACTTATATCCCAAGAGGAAAGGGAATATGGGGTGTTTCTCAGGTGGGGCCGTTGTGACTAAGACATCCATTACAGGCTTTTGTTTGAACATAAGCTTTCATTTCCCTGCCCAAGGGACAGTCCCTTGGGACTGCCCAAGACTGCAAGTGCTGGATCGTATGAGAGGTGTTTGTTTTATTTATTTCATTTTATTGTGGTAAGAACACTTAACATGAGATATATCCTTTCAAAAAATGTAACTGTACAACAATACATTAATGTTGATTTTAATAAGTATAATGTGCAGCAGATCTTAGAGCTTATCCATCTTGTTTGATTGAAACTTTATGTCTGTTTATTAGTAAGTCCCATATTTTTGGTTCCATTAACAGCCATTAGATCTTCAGAACAACTCTATGTGGTAGGTACTACAGTAATTTGCATGTTATAAAATAAGGCTCAGAGAGGTCAGGTGACTTGCCTGAAGCCACACAGCTAGTGAGTAGAGTCCTGGTATTTGAGTTGGGGTATGCTTGCAGCTTTTCTACCACCCTTCCTGTCTCTGGAAGGTGTCCCCTCCCCACAGGCTCACCAGGTGGTGGCAGATGTGGTCTGAGGCTCTGTGACCTCCCACAGCCCTAGTGGCCATGGACATACCTCAGGCTGTTGGCCAAAGAGCTTGACTGTAACTTGAGTCTCACCCAGGCTGGGGGTGATGGGGCGGGTGGGCAGGTGACAGCCAGGGCAGGGAGATTTTCCCAGACACTGGTGTGTGGCAGCCTGGCAACTGTGTGGCCCTGAGGCGACTGGGGGCTCCTGGAGCCTATTCCTGGTGGTGACCTTCACCATGGGCAACAAGCAGACAGTCTTCACTCATGAGCAGCTGGAAGCATATCAGGTAGGAGTGATGTGTGGGGCACTCAGTGGGTTTAGCAGCCTTGGAATCCTGGCCTGGGGAATGGGGACAGTATTCCTTGGCCCTGGATATGCAGTCAGCAAGGGTTTCCGTGTGCAGCATCGGGAGAGATGAGCATGGGGTGCTGGGGGGAGGAAGGAGGCCCCCCTGGGCAGGGCCTGGGCCAAGCCAACATCTCTCTCCACAGGACTGCACCTTCTTCACCAGGAAAGAAATCATGAGGTCAGTCTGGGGGAGGGGGGAGGGAGGAAGACCTGCAAACAACTTTCTATACATTGCTGGAGGATGTTTATGATTTGCCAGAACTCAATGCTTCATGGCAGAGTGTTAGTGGTCCGAAGGTGGAGGCAGAGATGGGGAGGCTGAGAAGTCACATCTTGGCATATTGTCAAGCCTCCAGGCTGACAAGCTTGAGCTTTCTCCCAAGGATGGCAGGAAGTAGTGGAGAGCGTGTGAGCAGGGGAGTGACAGATTGGCATGTTAGAAGGTCCCTTGAGGCCAATGTGAAGAGGCTGGGACTGGAGGCAGAGAGCCCAGAGGCAGAGTCCAGCTCTGGGCTATGGGTTCCCATCAAGGGGAGCAAACAAGGAGATGCCCCAAGGTTGCCACAAGCCCCTAGTGTGAGCGACAATGGCATAGATGGGCACCCTGCATCATCAATCGGCCCTTGGTGCCCCTGTCCGGAGGCCCCCACCCAGGAACTTGGAGCTGTGAAACCCAAGCTGGCCAGGGTTTGGCTGCAGAGTGATCGGGGCCCAGGGCCCAATTGTGTAGGTACAGGACATCCATTATTGATGGGCACACCTTTCATGAGTGAGCCCCATTGTCTGGGAGAGGACAGTTCGCAGGGTCACCCTGGCCATGATGATCGAATTACTGATGGAGAAACCGAGGCTCAGACAGGAGAGGTTGACCCAGCTTTGCAGATAGGCCACATCCCAAGGAGTGTGAGGGCTGACATTTCGTCCATCCCAAGCGTCTCGCTTGTTAGACAGACTAACTGAGGCTCAGAGGGGAAGAGGGACTTGCTCAACACGATACAGAAACCCAAACTCAGGTCGTTCCCTGAAGGGACCCAAGCAAGGAACTGGGTACTCGTTACTGGATTCCAGATACTCCCTTGTTAAGTTTCTAGTCATCATATGACTCAGGGGCTCCTGTCCCCATGTGAGACAGTCCCTAGAGTCTTGGGGACCTCTAACTCATCAAGGATGGTCTCTACAAGGCTGCTGCTCTGCATGCTGCAATGAAGGTATGCCGTCACCAGGTGAGCATCAGACTGCCGAGCTGGCTCCCAGACTAGGTAGTGCGCGTGGCATTTGGTGCTTTCTGAAATGCATTTCAGTCACCCTTTCAAAACCTGAATATTGGCTCTGCCCCATTGAGGGAACCCTGCTTCCCATTACAGAGGTGGAGAAGGAAAATGTGAGGACGGGGGTCTTTAGAAGCATGGTCTTGACAATAGTGTGATGATGTTCAGAATCATAGCTTGGCTCAGATTCTCTAAACGCTTGTTGTGAAATGACCTCACCTGAAGCACACTCCTGCCAGCCCCATCTACCTGCTGAGCTCCTGCTCATGCTTCAAACCCCAGCACCAATGCCTTCTCCTTTGGGAAGTCTTTCCTCCTCCTTGGCTTGCTTTCCTCACTCTGGTCCCCCTGAGCTCTGGGGCACTCACTCTCTCTACCTTGGGTGTGACACCAGGGAGATAGAGGTGCTTGTGTACCTGAAGGCTGGGCCCAGGGCTGAGGGTTAGGGACCCAGCATCTTTCAGTATGGAGCAAGCAGCTGCAAGTGAGAGAGGAGGGTCAAGTCCCCTCCCTCCCATCATCTCCCAAACCTTCCCGGTGTGTCCATCCCTACACCAGGCTCTTCTATCGCTACCAGGACCTGGCCCCCCAGCTCGTCCCCCTCGACTATACCAGCTGTCCTGATGTGAAGGTTCCCTACGAGCTCATTGGCAGCATGCCTGAGCTGAAGGTATGCTTAGGCAGTGGGGCAGGCAGGGAGAACAGAGTAGCGATGCTGCATTCCTATGAGGTGAGGGCTGCAATTATTCCCATTTTGTGGGTGAGAAAACTGAAGTTCATGGCCTCACAGCCAGGATGTTACAGAGACAGGATTCAAACCCTGGGCTGTTGGGATGATGCAGTAGGATAAGGCAGGCAAAGGGCTTAGCCCAAGGCCTGTTTCATGGCAAGTGCTCAGGGAACTTTAGTTCTTTTCATAGTCAGAGCAGCTAAATGCAGGTTCTTCTCAGCTAGATGTTCAGCATGTGGCTAGTGCCTCTGGAGGGGACTTGTGGAGTGAGTGACTGTGCGTAGAGACTATTGTATCACAAGGTACAAGAACCTCATTCAAGAGGGACAGAATAGGTTGGATCACATGAGCAAAAACTCCAGGGTCAGGGCTAGCATCAGGTACAGATGGAACCAGGGGCCCTGAGAATGGGCTTGGGAATCTCCTTCTATCTCTCAGCTCCTCTCAGGAAGAGGCTTTAGTCTCAATCAGCCCTTCTTCTTGAGGTGGTGATGGGAACCCCCAGAGACCAGATTTCCTCCTGTCAGTTCTACAACCAGCAGAAAGCAGGTCCCTTCATCCCAATTTTTCAAAAACATCCCAGGGCAGCCTCTGGTTGGCCAGTTGAAGTCACACGTCTATCTCAGAGCCAATCACAGTTGCCAGGTGAATAGAAATCTGCTTGTCCTCACCCAGGTCGTGTGGCTGCCTCTGTAACTGGAAGTAGGGACAACACCACCCAGACCACTGTGGCAGAGAGTAATGGTGCCTACAGTCCTGCCTGAGGATCATGGGAGGGAGGCAGTCTTGGTGGGGGGTACCTGGAGGGTCCCAGGAAGGTGAGTGCTGAGAGTGAGACCACATGGAGCCTGAGACCCTAGTCAGGGATGGCCGCCCTGCTTCCTGTCCCCAGGACAACCCGTTCCGACAGAGGATTGCCCAGGTCTTCTCTGAGGACGGGGATGGCCACATGACCTTGGACAACTTTCTGGACATGTTTTCTGTGATGAGCGAAATGGCTCCCCGTGACCTCAAAGCCTACTATGCTTTTAAAATCTATGGTGCGTGCAGGGCCTGGGGTGGGGGCTGTGCAGTGGGGGGTGGAAACAAGGCCAGCCCCAGGGCCAGGGGCCACCCTGCTGTCCCGGTGTCTCCCCAAGGGCTTCAAGGCCCAGCGTGGCCCAGTGCTCCTCCCACCCCGCACCTCCCGACCGCATCTGCTTGCTTGCTCCATTCCAGCCACACTGGCCTCGCTCTTTCACCCGCACACCAGACTCTGCCTCCAGGCCTTTGCCTCTGCTGTATCCTCTGCCCAGAACATCTTTCCCCTGGCTCCTTCTCACCTTGAAGTCTTGGTCTAAAGTAGCCCCCTCCCTGAGTCATTCTCCACCCCCGTTTTATTCCTCTCTTAGCATGGGATGATGCTGCTTAATTCCTTGTTCATTGATCTGTTCACTTCTTACTGACTTCCTCTCTAAGGGGACCCAGGGAAGCAACAGTGTCCATTTGATTCACCATCTGTCTACTGTGCCCGGCACATAGCAGGTGCCCAATAAATTCTTCTTGAATGAATAAATGAAAATGTATCACAGTGCCTGGCACACAGTAGGCACGCAATCAATACTTGTTGAGTGGATGAGTCAAAAACAGTTATTATCATGGTGCCTGGTACATAATAAGTGTTCAATAATACTTGAATAAATAAACGAAAATTTACCACAGCGCTCAGTAAATACTCGTTGAATGTATAAATGAATGACCTTGTTGCTGCCCAGTTCAAAGAAAGACCCAGCTTTTCTCTGAGGGTCTTGGATTCCCTCCAGTGCCTCAGTTTCCTCCTCTGTAACATGGGGACAAGATGCACCCACGCTGGCCCAGCCTGCCTGCCACCTGCTGCCTGCTCACCCACATCCCCATCCTGCCCACCGCGCAGACTTTAACGATGATGACTACATCTGTATGTGGGACCTGGAGCAGACGGTGACCAAGTTGACTCGGGGGGAGCTGAGTGCCGAGGAGGTGACCCTGGTGTGTGAGAAAGTTCTGGATGAGGCCGATGGGGACCACGATGGGCGGCTGTCCCTGGAAGACTTCCAGAACATGATCCTGCGGGCGCCCGACTTCCTCAGGTGACACTCCTTGCCGCACACTCAGTCCATTTCCACGTGTGGGGAAGGGAGGACCTTATAGAGCTAGATCATGGGCTCCATTTGTGACAGTCCCTGCATTCATTCGTGTGTGGTCTTGGGGAACTTTTCCAACCTCCCTGGCTCCAGTCCCTGCATCTTTAAAACAGGGATAATTAGGAACCCCATGGGCACCTCCTGGGGGTGGTCACAGCACTTTGGGTGAGTGGATCGTGGATGGACTTTGGCCCTCACTTGCCTGAACACTTTGCAGTGAACAGCTGTACTAGGCAGCCCTGGGCAGAATCAGAGCCCCCACTGCAGGGTGGAGGGCAAAGGTTACATGAGTTAGTACAGGCAGTGGCCTGCCACCTGTTTTTGTACCTCTAGGGAGCTAAGAATAGTTTTTTAAATGGTGTGTTTAGCCCTGGCTGGTGTGGCTCAGTGGATTGAGTGCCAGCTTGTAAACTGAAAAGTTACTGGTTCAATTCCCAGTCAGGGCACATGCCTGCATTGTGGCCCAGGTCTCTGGTTGGGGCATTTGAGAGGCCCAATCAGTTGCCATTGATGTCTCTCTTGCACTTCAGTGTTTCTTTCCCTCTCTCTATCCTTCCCTTCACCTCTCTCTAAAAATAGATAAAATCTTTTTAAAAACCTTTCTAAAGAAATGGACTGATAAAAAAGCAATGTTGCAAAAGCAAAAAAATTGCATTTTTAAATGGTTAGAAAAATACTCAAAGAGTAGTGATACTCCAGGGCACATGAAAGTGATATGAAACGGAAATTTCTGGGCCCACCCGGGGTTTTGCTGGCACACAGCCTCGCCCTTTTGTGCACATATGGCTGATGGCTGCCTTCGAGCTACAAGGCAGAGTTAGTCACTGTGCAAATTTGGAAATATCAACTATTTGGTGCTTTCCAGGAAAATTGTTTGGCCCCTGAGTTAGTACATGGAGTGAATTTAGAGCCACACCTGGCCCACAGTAGGTGCTCAGTAACTGTGCCTTGGTTACTACTAGTGGTGTCCCTCCCCGCACAGGCCTCCCCTTTCCCTGCCCTGGATCGGCAGGCCTGGTCTCCTGGCAGATGGAGACATGCATAATGGTAGTGGGATGGTGGTGCACCTTTGGTGTGTCCTGCTTCCAGACCTCAGTACAGCCCCTGTGAAGGAGGGACAGCTGTCATCCCCATTTCACAGGGGAGTACACAGAGGCCCAGAGTGGCCCAGAGAGGCAGCCACCTCTCACTGAGAGCCCTACAGCAAGTCGAGATGTAAACTGATTCAGAGATGTCTTCCCAGCCCCGGCTGGGGGGCGGGGTCCTGAGGGCTACAGCCTGGGGCTTCCTGAGTAGGCTCCATCTTTCCCTGTGATGCCTGGCCTGCTAGGGGACTCCTGGCAGGAGGGTCAGGGAGGAAGGTGCCGGAGGGCCGCCCCCCTCCCGCCTGGTGACACTGACTCGTTTCCTCTCTGCACACAGCACCTTCCACATCCGCATCTGAGGACGCCACGCAGGAGGAGCAGGGCCAGAGGAGGGAAGGGTGACCCCTCACCCCACTGTAGACTCTGGACTCTGGGAATAAACACATGTCACTGAGTCGAACCTGCTGGGATGAGACATTTCTGCCTTCAGTCTGGTGGATGGGAGGAAGGAGACCTGGATCTCGTCTGTGCTCTCCCAGTGTGCCCCTGGGCATGGCCACGCCCTCTCCAGGCTACCTTCTCCCTGACCGTACAAGGCAGAGCCTGACTGCTAGATCTTGCTGCACTGCAAGGGCTGGGGGTGCCTCGCTGTGGGTGTTGGTGAGCAGAGACCAGTGTGCAGAGGAGGCCTGTACTGCCCCACTCCAGGGCCCCCCAAGGCCAAACCCTATCCCAGCTGCTTGAGTCCCCTTTTTCCTCGACTCCTGAATTCCTCAAAGGGATGGAAGGTTTAAGGCTTGCTTATTTATTCGAGCTGCCAGGGGAAGCCTCTGAGGGGATGGCAGGAACGTTGCTTACTGAGCTGGGCGCGGCACTTGACAGTTTGTGAAGCATCTGCCCCTCTGCTGTCCCACTGCATGCCTGTGATGCCCCCGCAGTGCTGGCCCAGGACCAGTCACACTTCATCCAGAGGGAATAGAGGGACCGGCCCAAGGCCACACCTCAAGTCATCTGCAGAGGCGGCCTTGAGCCTGGGCCCAGCTCACTCCAGACCCCAGACCCCTACACTATGTGGATTTGGGAACCCCACACCCACTCCACCCATGGTCACCCTGGGGCCCATCTACGGCCCCAGTCAGTCCAAAGAGCAATCATTTCGAAGGGGGCAACCGAAAGCAGCCCCAAGGGCCTTCTCAGACACCCCCAGTACAAGGCATTTCTAGAGAGCCCACTCCCACACTACACCTCCACCAAAAAAAAGTACCTACTGTGCACCTAAGCCACAAGATTTATGCACATCCTACTGCTTCATCCTGAATGGGAGGGGCTACTTTCTCCCCATTTTCCACGTGAGGAAACAGGCTCGGGGAGGTCTAGTGACTCGCCAAAGTCACACAGCCTTGCTAACCCCCACCCCAAAGCCCACCCCAACCACAGCTGGGGGCTGCCCCTCCCTTTTTAAAGCAAAGGACACACTTGCTTCTCCTGAAGCTGACATTGGTGTCTGGAGTGCTCCTGAGCACCAAGCCCACCACAAGTCTTATCTCCTTCATTTGTATTAGAACCCGGGACAAAGGCGTGGCCAGAATTCAGAGATGAGTCCAGGTGAGGGGAAAGTAGGGAAAGGACTCCAAACTGTGTGACTTCCGATCCTGGCACTGATGTTCAGTAGCCTGGTGACTTTGGCCATGCCTCCCCCATCTCTGAACCTCACTCTTCTTGAAAAAGTGCAGAAGATGCCTACCTGATGGGCCTGCTCAGTGGTGTAAAAGAAATAGTGAACGCTGAGGATCTGGCATGGGGCTGGCACACAGTAGAATGCTCCAGACCCTCACTATAACTGATTGTTATTATTACAGCAATAACCAGGTCACCTCATTGGCATTTGCAGGACCAGACCTAAGCAATGTCTTTATTACATTTCTCAGGTCCAGAGGGCTGGTGTGCAGAAAGCAAGGAGTCCAGGTGTGAGCAGCCCTCGGCAGCAATGGTCCCAGAGCCAGGGCAAACCTCTTCTCTAGCAGTACCCAGGGGCAAAGGGTGGTGGTGGGCGGTACTCCTCGGGGAGACAGTCCTCCTGGGGCTCAGCCAAGTCCCTCAGCTCCGATTTAGACAATTGTGAGGACAGGGCCCTTACTATTGGTTGGTGCCAACCCCTGGTTCTCGAGGTCACGTTACTCCAGCTGGTTGACCTTGAGGCCCTCCTGGAGGACTCATCTCTGTCTCTTGGAGCCTGGGACTGTGAGGGGCTTTCAAGTGATGTGGCCGCCAAGGGGTCTGTGTAGATGCGACTGTCCCAGATCCCAACATCTGCCCGGTCCCCTGAGCTGTGAGTCACCTCCGATTGCTTGGGGTCCTGGAGCGGCGACAAGCTCACAGCTGCCAGGTGGGATTTCAGCTGCTGCTGGACCTTCTTACCCGTCTGGGGTAGTGCCTTGAGGTTCCTCCAGAGTTTCTGACAGGCCTCCTCCAGGGGGGCTTTTGGGGGGCAGGAGGAAGCAGCTCCCTCCGTGGGTACTTTGTTCACCTCTGCGGATGGCTTCCTTTCCTTTCGCTGATGGAGCAGGGACGGCTTTGCAGAGACCTAAAACCAAGAGCCAGTGAGACTCGTGCCAACACACCCACCAGCACTCTGAATCCACCTCAGACTTAGGATCTGGGTTCCATCCAGATGCCCTGGGGCTGACAAATTGCCCCGTATGAACCTCCAAACCTACCCTCGTGCCCCATCCTTCCCTCTTCAGTAGACAGCTGCCCTAGCTTCCCCAGGAACCATTTCTGTAAAGGACCAGGGAGAACTTGCTTTTCGGGCTGCACAGTCTGTCTCCTTACTCAGTTCTGCGGTCGTTGAGTGTGTGGGCCCAGTTCCATTCCAACTTTATGGATGTGGAAATCCGAGTCTCATCTGATTTTCGCGAGCCATGAAATAGTGTTTTTCTCAACTATTCAAAAACGTGAATGCCATGCTTAGCTCACAGGCCATACAGATACGGGCAATGGACAAGATGTGGCCCTCAGGCCGTGGTTTACTGACCCCTGACCTTTCACTGTTCAGGCCAAGTGTGTGGCAAATGTGGCAGATGCTATCAATGGCCCACCCATATCCTCTTTGTCCCCAGCTCCATTCCCAAATGCTGGCACTGGGAGCTCTGCCTCGGGGACTTCTCTGGTCCACTGTGCCCACTGTGTCCACAAGGCACACTGGAAGTGCCAGAGAATCAAAATCTCCCAGGAATGGTGCTTGATCAATGATTGATGGAATTTGGAGGTAAATACCCGAGCTCCCTCACCCTAAGAGGTGATAACTGAAGGGCGCAGCAGACAGGAAACATGAAAACCATAAATAAACAAGACTTTTCAAATTTTGAGGAGTGCCCTGTTGCGAATAAATAGGATGATGTGATGGAGAAGGTGCTTAGGGGAGTACTTTAGGTCTGGAGATGGGAGGGAGACCCCTGAAGAAGGACTGAGAGAAGAAGCCAGGCATGGGGAGCTTGGGGGCGGAGCTTGTAGCACAGCATGTGCAAAGGGCCTGAAGTTAGGTGGTGTGGGATGGCAGCGGTGCTGAAGCTGGGCAGGTGAAGGGCAGAAGGAGGAACTGAGATCATAGTCAAGATTTTAATCTTGGTGGGAAATCACTGGAAGGTTTTAAACGTGGAGCTGCAGGATCTAATCTACATTCTAGAAAGTCTCCTCTAGCAGCTGTTGGCCACCTCTGCTCTGGACCCTCCCCCAGGTTGGAGGCACCAGCTTTCTGTCACATACCTCCTTGGGTGCAGCCACTGGATGGGAGGAAGGATTCTGATGTTCACTGGGACCAGGGGTGGGGCTGGCAGCTTCCTCAGCCAAAGCATTGTAGTAAAGGAAGAGATCCTCGTAATCCACGTTTGCTGGATCCTTCTGTGGGACAGAGGGGACCTGCAGCTCAGCCCCAAGGAGGATCACCAGGATGGGGCTGAAGTCCCTGGACCCTCGTAGTTGTGGCTCAGGAGCTGCTGTACTCACAACCCTTGTAGTAAAGCATGCCCCTTTCACAGCAGCTTGAGGGCCTAGGCCCCGCCCACAGCAATTTACGTAGGCCTAGGCCACACCCATAGACCCTTATAAGGATTCCGGCCCCTCCCACAGCAGCTTCTGAGGGCTTAGGCCCTGCTGACTGAGGCTTATCAGGAAATAAGCTATTCCTATAGATCCTAAGGTTATACCTTTGTAAAAACCCTTTTAGTGAACCCTTGTAAAAAATCATCCTGGGGGCAACTAGGACCAGGAGGAGTTGGAACTGTGGAGGGACTGGGACCATGAAAGGAGAGAATCATGAGACTGAAGGGGACTGGTGGGAGCAAAACAAGTCTGGGGGGCTTGGCTCCTGGGAGGAACAGCTATGGCCCAACTGGGTCCCAGCCCTCACCTGCCCACAGGGCTGCTTCAGCAACTCGCCATGTGGCCGCATTGGCTGCTGTTGGTGAAAGGTGATCAGGGCGTCCAGCGAGGCATGGGTGCTGTCCTCCCCAGGGATTACAAAGCTCCCGCTGTCCAAGAGCTTCACCATAAAGTGGCGGTAGCAGTTTTCGGCTCTGCGGAGACACTGCCAGGGATGAGACATCCCACTCCCCTCACCCCATCCCCCTGCCCCGTCCTTGAACCGACAGCACTGTGGGTGCCGTCTGACTGCCGAGACCCTATGCAAGCTTCTCTTATTAGCCTTGTGACACTTGGTAGGTGACTAGCAATGCTGTGCCTCAGTTTCCCCATCTATAACATGGAGCTAGGGAAGTGAAACAAGCTGCTGCAGAAAAAGCTTAGCTCCGTGCCTGGCTAGGGGTAAGTGACCAATAGCAACAGTAATGAAAACTGAGTCAGGCTTCAGCCTGAGGCTGTGGTTGCCTGGCATACTGCTCCCTTAATGAATGAGTGTGTTTATTAATGGCTTACTATGTGCTTACTATATATAGATTTTTTAAATCCTCACCAGAGAATATTTTTTCATTGCTTTTACAAAAAGAGGAAGCCAGAGAGGAAGGGAGAGAGAGAAACATTGATTGGTTGCTTCTTGATTTCTGTACTTGCCTGGACCAGGAATTGAACCCACAACTTAGGTATATGCCTTGACTGGGAATCAAACTTCCAACCAAATGAGCCACACTGGCCAGGGCAGTGCTTACTATGTGTTTTAATCCTCACATCAAGACGAGTAATTTTAGCATTTCTGTGTTAGAGATGAAGATTTTGAGGGAGGTACAGAAAGGTTGAGTAACATGTCCAAGGTCATACAGCATGTAAGTAGCAGAACTGAGCCTTGGACTGTGCAACTCAGTCCCAAGTTTTCCCACTGTAGGTAATTCTGTGATGGAGCCATTGGATTTTCTTGCATTCCTTTGGCCCGAAATCCTTTTGAAAAATATTATGTACCGCCGAATCTGCTAATTGGGATGCCAGATTAGGCTTTGAGGCCTCAGGTAGCTGGACTGCCCTGGGCTCTCAACACATCCTCCTGAGTGGAGTCAGAGAGTTGCCCGTTAGGTGGTGGAAGGGAGATGGGCTGTTATGGAAAGGGCAGTAGCCACTCTCAGGCCCCAGCAGCTCCTGTTCTCAGACACACAGTCTTAGTTACCACCCGACCTAAGCCTGCTGGTTACAGCCAGACCTGCAGCTGCTCACTTTTCAGCTAGCTCTGTCCAGAACTTTGTATCAGTTGCTGAGACTTGCAGTATAAAGCACCCCTCACCCCTTCAAGAAAGCCTGGAACCCTTCTCCCCCTGCCCTGTCCCCTAGCCCCAGCCTTACTTGTAGGAGAGCGTGTAGCCCACGTGACTGTGACTGACCCTGATGAGGAAGGATCCCAGCGGCTGTGATTCCAGCAAGCTCTCTGCATCCCTGGAAGGGCACACACAGGAGGGCAACAGGTGAGGCCCAGCCACCCGTGTATGCCCAGACCCTGGGTGTACCAGTCATCCCAGGACTAGACAAACAACTTAAAACATGTTTTCTCCGTGGTTGTTTCAGAACTTGGAATATTCATGGACAGAATATTTCCCCAGAGGTGCCAGAAGGCCTCTGATGACCTTGACCCCAGGCCAGACCCATCATCTCCCACAGCCCCCGCCTGCCTTCCCAGTGTCTGGAATTCCTCCGGGAAGGCACCTTTGGGTGGATCCAGGAATGACAGGTAACAAGGCAGGAGCTGTCCCCAGATGCCTTTGAGGCCAAACCCCAACTCTGCTGTTCATTCACTGTGTGCCTCTTGGTGAGGGTCAGTCCCTTTCTGACCTCTGCTTCCCGAAGGAGTAGAAAACCCCACTCCCAGGCCAATGTGAGGACAGACGGAATGTGTGCAACGTGAGAACTTCCACCTGGTACATGCTTTCCAAATGTTCACTACTAGTACAGCTGACCCTTGAACAACATGGGCTGAACTGCCAAGTCCAAGTGGATATTTTCAATAAATGCACAAACTGGCCCTCCGTGTAGTGTTTCTCATCTGAGGCTGGGAATCTGGGGGTGTGGAGGGCCAACTCTATGCATGGACCTACACCATTTTATAGAGGGGACCTGAGCAGATTCTGGTATCCATGGGGGTCCTGGAGGCAACCCCATGGATACTGAGGAATGACTGTAACCACATTTGTGAGCAGTCAGGTTATATAAGGATTTAGAGTCAGCACTCCTGAAGTCCACATTATTGAAGGGTCAACTATATCACTATCATTCGCTATCATTATTATACTATTTTCTGGGGTTCACAGAGAGTAAGGTGACCTTCTATGGGGAGCCTCTGGATGCGTGTTGTTCAGTGCACAGGCCACTGACCACATGTGGCGACTGAGCATTTCCAATGTGGCTGGTCTGAATCAAGATGTACTTTTAGCATATGGTACACACCATATTCTAAAGACTCAGTACACAGCACAGGAAGTATAGTCAACAGATGCATAATAGCTGCGTGTGGTGTCAGATGGACTAGTAGATCTACTGGGGCAATCACTTTGTCAGTTATATAAACGTCTAACCACAATGTTATACATCTGAAACTAACATGATATGGCACGTCAACTGTAATTGAAAATTTTTATTATAAAAATTTTTTAAAATAATAAAAAATAAAGATAGTACAAATAGAGGAATATATATACTGTCTCATGAATGATTTTTTTGTACTAATTACTTGTTGAAATGGTAGTATCATAGATGTACTGGGTTAAATACTGCAATCTTTTAGTTATGGGACAATGCTCAACCAACTGAACCACACCAGCCAGGGAAAATAAAAAATGTGATTAAAATTAATCCTACTTGTTTCTTTTTGCTTCTTTTAATATAGCTAGTAAAAAATTTAAAATTGCAATGTATGGCTCATATCATATTTTATTGGCACACCTCAGAACTCAGAAACCATACCTAATTCTGCCTCTCTGTGGCTTTTGCAATGTCTCCTCAATTTCCTGAATGTGAAGGGTGGCAATAAAGGTTCTTTTCTCCATTCATTTAGAGCCACATCCTGGGGTGACTAAGTAGATATGTTCATCTTAGAGCACAGTCTGGTATAGAAAGGGCATATTAGCTATATACCTGATGGATTGAGAGTGGCTGTTCGGGGCACTGTGTTAAGAAGGATTCTGAGGCTGCATCCTGCCATCATTGGTTGGTGATGACTGGCCTGGCAGGGGTGGGAGGACGGTGGGGGAGGGGGCTTTGCCAGGTCCCTGGCAGTTCTGGCCTGGTGGCCACTTGTATAGAGAAAGCCAAGGTCCAGAGAGGGAAAATAACTTGCCCAAGGGCACACAACAAGTCCACAGAGGAGACAAGATTCAAGCCCAAAGCTCCAAAGCTCTTTTCATCCTCTTAACTCAGTTGGGTGAGCTAAGCCCAGGGTTCCACAGTGGAAAACTGCCCGAGGCAGGGGCAGACAAAGAAAGAGGGTGAAAGGCAGGGTGGAAGGTGTGGGTGTGTCCTCACTGTCTGGAGATGGCACCATGGAACCACGAAGGGACTCCTTCTCGGGCCAGCTGGCCCACCTGTGTGTGCACGAACCAGTCCATTCGCGGAGGCAGCGGCGGTGGCAGCTTTCTGGTCTCTGTCATGGCTTCCTCAGAGGGAAGGTTTCACCTGGGGACAGGAAGGAGGGGGAGAATCATGCCTGGCCCACCTCCCATCTTTATCCTATTCTTGCAGCTATGGTGCCTTCTCTTTGGGGAAATCCTCTAGGCTGGACAGAGCAACAGGGCTGAAACTGGCTTGTGTTTCCTGAGCACCTACTATGTGCCAGCACTTTATGTACATTCACTTATTGACTCCTCCTAAAAATCTTCCAAGGACAATAAGAATAAAAGAAAAAGGGAGTAATAATAATAAAATGAAAGCCCCAACTAGTGTGACTCAGTTGGTTGGGCATCATTCTGCAAAGTGAAAGGTCACGGGTTCAGTTCCGGGCCAGAGCAGATGCCTGGGTTGTGGGTGTGGTTTCTGGTCAGGGCGCGTGCTAGAGTCAGCTGACCAATGTTTCTCTCTCACATTGATGTTTCTCTCCATCTCTTTCTCCCTTCCTCCTCCCCTCTCTAAAAATAAATATATAAAAATTTAAAAAATAGGATAAAAGGAAAAGCAAAAATCCTCATATTTTGTTTTCCTTTTATTCTTATTATTTCATTACTGCGAGTGTGGGAAAGTTCCCTTTATAGATATATGTATTTAAGTTTAAGAACTGAATTTATTCAAATATTAAGTAGCTACCCACGTCCGTGGAGGGATGTGGTGGTGGCAAAAGGATAAGCGGATGAATGAAATAGTGAACACTCAGTGGGCACCATAAAGGGTGGCCATGTTTATTAAACACCACAGAGATTTGGGCTGAACAGTTACTTCTGCCACCAATGTCACCAGCACATTGGATAGCACACTTATGATGTGACAGGTGCATAGTTAATTCACATTCATTATCAACAATTTTAAGCTCAGGTATCACTGGACTTTGTGAGCCAATGACAGAGAGCTGGGAAACAGAGGGAAAAACCAGCACCAATTTGAAAAACAGTTATGAAGTCAGTGTAAAGCCAGCAAAAGTTCTGTGCCATGCTGGGATGACCTCTCCAACTCACCCTAATTCTGTCCCCAAACTTGTCCCACCTCTCACACTGGCCGGGGCTAACCCTTCCATCTGGCAGAAGGTCACTGTTACCAGGCTGTCTCCACAGACAGGAGTCCCACTGAACAACCCAGTCAATGTTGACTTTCTCCTACTAGGAGGCAGGTGGTGAGAACACCCCTCCAGGGAGCGGCCCAAAGGAATTCTGGGCAAGTGAAATTAAATACATTAAGAAATGTTTAGCCCTGGCTGGTGTGGCTTAGTTGGTTGGAGCGTCATCCTGTAAACCGAAAGGTCACAGGTTCGAGTCCCTGTCAGGGCACACACCCAAGTTGCATGTTCAATCCTAGGAAGGGGCACGTGCCAGAGGAAATCGATCAAAGTTTCTCTCCCCCCTCTCTCCCTCTCTTCCCCTTCTCTAAAACCAATAAGCATGTCAAAAAAGAAAGAAATGTTTAATAAGGCAGAGTTACAAAGCTGTTCAGAGCCTGGGAACAGAGCCTGCAAACAGAGCCTGAATTCAAACCTACTTAGATGCTGTGTGAGCTTGGGCAAATCAGCTTAACCTCTCAGTGCCTGTATTTTCAACTACAATTTGGGGAGATGATGATGATATTTACCTGGAGTAGCATAAGCCCTGACCGTGTGTGGGTTTTTCTTTTCTGTAACTCGAACGTCTGACTTTAGCTTTGATTGCTGAGGCATCCGTTTAGAGGGTGGCAGTCTCCGGTCAGGGTTGCCAACCACACGGCTGAAGAGCCAGGCTGCCTTCTCCCACTGAGGCAGTGTGAGAACCCCTACCGTCCCCACGGATCTTGCCTCTGGCCTAGACTTGCCTCATGGGGCTGGAGTGTCTGTGTCTGCTGTCTCCCCAATGTTAGGGCCTGCCAGGGTCTGGGCTCAGGGCTAGGCTAGAGATGGATTCTTTTGGATTTTTCTGGGTCTCCAGCATCACCTGGAGCTGGGTGGGCACAGAGGAGGGTACAGGGTATGTGCTGATGAGTAGTTTAGTGATGGATGAAGACACGCTAAGTTTCAAGTTCCTGACTCTGGCGTTGGGGGCCCTCCCACCTCCTAATCCCCTGTTCCAGCCTTAATAGCATCCTTGCTTTACCCCAAATTGATCAAGGTCTCTTTCCCCTTCACCTGCTTGCCCAGACAGTTCTTTGCCAGAAATGCCCATTCCCCAACTCCAGCACCATTTTCCAATGGTCATCTCAGAAAATTCCTCATTCATCTCTGGTCCCGCCCCACCAGCCCCATCCCTCCCTCTGGTCCAGCCCAGTGCTCTTTCTTCTAGAGGCTCTCAAAGGCCCCAGCCTCACCCAGCACAGGACAAAAGAGTGGTGGGTGTACAGTTGACTAAGGAGTCCCACCCAGGGAACATACCTGGGAGACCCCTGGGTGGCTGTCGCCCTCGCTCTGGGTGTGCCTGTGCCGTGCTTGCAGGAGACTGGGTTTCGGTTCAGGGCCCACACGTCAGCAGGGCCGGGCGGGGCCACGCCCTGGTGGTTCCTGTTTCCTCCGGCAGGTGAGCCCCTGGGCGGGACCAGGACAACCCCCATGGCCCTTCGTTTGTGCTCCAACAAAGCCGCTGGGCTGCAAATGAAGGACGGGTGGCCTTGCCCCACCCAGACCTGGACGAGCCTTTATTGAGCACTGGTTGTGAGCTAGATCCTCAGGGGACAGAGAGAAGGCCCCAAGAGAGGCCCAAGCCCCATCCTCCCTGTAGCTGCAATCTAGTGAGCAATGAAAAAGCATAAGAAATTATTAATGTTGTTTCAGAGCAAATAGCAGGTCAGAAAACAGGGACTGAAGTTGCAAGAACCCCCAGAGGGGGCCTAACTGGTCTGGAAAAAATGGCACCTGGGGCCAGGTGGGAGTCAGCTCCATCTGCTGGGGAATTGAAGAAAGAGTGAAAGATGCCTTTGGTAGAGGGAGCCACAGAGACCTAGGGCCCAAGGCAGGATGGAGCCTGGGCAGGCTGAGCCTCACTGGGCATACAGGGTCACATTAAGAGTCCTGCTAGTCCTGGCTGGTGTGGCTCAGTGGATTGAGCACTGGACTGCAAAGCAGAGGGTTGCTGGTTTGATTCCCAGCCAGGCACATGCCTAGGTTGCAGGTCAGGTTCCCTGGTGTGGGGAGCTACAGGAGGCAGCCACATGTTGATGTTTTTCTCCCTCTGTTCCCTTCTGTCTGAAAATAAATAAATAAAATCTCAAAAAAAAGAGTTCTGTTAAAAAACATTTAAAATTATATTTTATGATGGCATCAGCCTCATTATTATACATTCATTATTATTATACTATTTTTTTCTGATTAAAAAAACCCTAACCATTATCGGGGCCTCTACACATGTCGTGAGCTCTGAGTATGGGAACCTGTGCCCAACAAATCAGCCAACCCAGATGTGTGCTGGCTACCCACACTCCTCCTCAGAGCGCACAGGCAAAACCACTTCCTCCTCCTCTTTCAATGGCACAGATCCTCGTGGCTGAGCTGCAGGGGGTGGGGGCAGCCTCCCTGCGGGCCTATCGCCCTGGCCCAGCTGGTTTAGGTAGCCTGATTGCAGGCTCAAGCTGGGTGCCCCCACCACTTCCTGCCCTATGGGGGCAGGGAGTTGCCCTCAGTTTGCAAGTCAACAGCCCCAAGCAAGAAACACAAGGAACCCCTTTCTCACTCACCCACTGTTGTGGTCTTGGGTGAGTTGCCCAACCTCTCTGGGTCTCAGTTTCCTCATGTGTAAGTCACATGATAACAGCCCTCCTTAGTCACATGATGATAATCAGCAAGACAAACTTCAGGCAAGTAGCAGGGGCTCGGTTAAGAGTAACGACATCAGGACTCCTCACTGTGACTGAATCTGATGCCTTCGTGTCTGTCTGGGGGAGATGCTGGCTCGAGCTTCAGACCTCCTAGGCTGGGCTATGTTGCGCAGCTCACTTGGCCTCTCTGATCCTCTATGCCCTCTGTAACCCAGTGAGCCTGCTCCTTGCCTCCATGATGAGGAGCAGCGCCATTGCGGAGGAGAGCAGAGCGCCCAACCAACCCTCGTCAGTTAGAAAGCCTGGCCTTTGGGGTATCATTTGCATGGAGTTCAGTCTCCAGGAACATGGGGCCTATCAGTTCCCCTCTGGCCCGGTGCCCTGAGGCCCCACCACAGAGGCCCCCACCCTGACTGCCCAGATCTGCTTGGCGGATGTGGTCTCCCACAAACTAACGGCCTCCCCTGAGCATGTCACAACAGAATCACTCCCTACCCCTACCCCTCAGTGACCACAGTCCTGGATGGAACCTGTGAATGGAGAGGTGGCCCCCAAAGGAACTTCCAGAAGAGGACTAGCAGGGAAATTGGGTGGGGCTGGGCTCCAAAACCCCTCCCCCTCCGACATTGGAGCCTTGGGTGGTGGTTGGGATTTCCATGGCTCCGTGTGGGATGGGTGGCCCTCTGGGTCAGAGATCACAATGCTGTTTCACCTTGGATATCAGGTTGGGGAAGTCAGGCCTGGGGAACTTCCACGCTGAGCAGGAGACAAGAAGTGGTCAGGAGAAGTGAGTCCCACAGATGCTACGATGATGAGGTGGGAGGAGAGAGGGGAATGAAAGGCCTCTCTGCGGAGGCTGTCCTGGTTGGTCATGACCTGATGGACGAGTAAGCTGTACAGATTTTTGGGGACCGCTGGACCAAGGGTACAGCACATACAAAGGCACTGGGGCCTATAGGAGACTGTTCTGTGTGGTGTGGGCCCAGCTCCCACTCGGAAAGGCCAGTGGAAAGTGAGGTCTGGTACACAGGACCCACACCCACGGGTAGGTTCTCCCATGGGGAATCAGGACTGCATTGTACCTAGGCCGCTTTGAGACTTGCTTTTTGCTAAAACTCCCTCACCCTAAATTGAGGCAGCAAACGTTTACTGCATATCTTTAAAGTCGCTTCCTAAAGTCTGTGCTAAGCCTTCCAAGGATGAGTGTAACCAGTTCAACCACTTTCCCTTTACATTTGCCAATATCCTTCTTTTTTGATATAATCAGTAACGTCCTCCTTTGTTTTCAGTAAAAGGTAACCACCTAAAGCTAACCTGTGCATAGTAAATGAGGACCGTCCTCAATGTAATGTGCCCAGAAAAGCAATATAAGCTTGTCAAGTCAAGGGTTGGGGCACTCTCCCCTTGAGAGAGTGGCTGTGCCGACCGTTTTCCTCCACCAGGACTCTGTGGTCTGTGTGAATTTGTCTTGTATCTCATGCACAATGCCGCAGAGACTGCAGGCCAGTGGCCGTCATCAGGGGCCACAGTGAGCTTGGGGTATAGCAGGAGAGGAAAGCAGTGCAGGGGCTGGGGTGAGGTGAGCCAGGGGAGGGTGGCAGAGAAAAGGGAAGAGGGGGGCAGGGCCATAGCATGCAGGAGCTCGTGGCCCATGGTGGAAGGTGAGTTGGGGGGTGACACCATTTGATTTATTTTTTTTTTAATTAATTTCAGAGACAGAGAAACGTTGATTCCTTGTTCCATCATTTATACATTCATTGGTTGATTCTTGTATGTTCCCTGGGTGGGGATCAAACCCACAACCTTGGTGTATCAGGATGATGCTCTAACCAACTGAGCTAACCAGCCAGGGCTGATTTCTATTTCTTGAGAATATTTCAACAACAGACTAAAGGACAAAGGGGGAAGGCTGGGACAGAGGTACAGTGGGTACTGGCTCCAATGGGGGTATGGGGGGAGGTTACAGGGCATGTTTCTTGGCTACTGTTGGGGTCCCCAAGATCACCCCCAGGTCAGTGGTTCACTGGGACCACTGATACAGGGCACATCTTTCTTGGTTGTGTAATGTTTATGGTGATTGGACATCAGAATTGGAATAGACAGCAGGCAGGTAAACATGGGAGTATGGAGCTTAGACCGGGGTTTGGGCTGGATCTGGGGTGTAGAAGTCACCAGCAGGTCTGAAGACCTGCTGGCCAGGCTGGCCGTTGGCTGGCATTCAGGAACTTGGCTGGTCAAGTTCCCTAGCTGAAGTAGAACCTCCCCTATGTGAGGAGTGGCTCATCGCTACGCCTAAGTTTGTGTTGTACAAATGATGTGGTTTGGCTGAACACCTGCTTTCTTCCCAAGCTGCTAAAACTGTGGTACACACCAGGCAGAGGTGCCTATGTAACCAGCCCAGATAAAACTCTGGGTGCTGGGCCCTGGCCAGGTAACTCCGTTGGTTAGAGTGCCGTCCCGATATACGCCAAGGTTGTGGGTTGATCCCTGGTCAGGGCACATACAAGAATCAACCAATGAATACATAAATAAGTGGAATAACTAATCAATGTTCCTTTCTTTCTCTTCCTTCATCTCTAAAATCAATTAAAAACCCCCACAAAAACCTTGCGTGCCCTGGGCGAACACTTCACGTAACTTGTCACAGCTTGGTGACGGAGGAATCAAATGTGACCCCTCACACAGAGGACCCCTGGAGGTCGGCACCTGGTCTCCTCTGGACACGGCTCCACGCCCTCTTCCTGAGCCCGTTTCCCTTTGTGTCCTTTGGCTGTAGTACATCAGCTATGTGCTGGGGCCCAGTGAACCACTGACCTGGGGGTGGTCTTGGGGACCCCAACAGTGGAAGGAACCCACGGGCCAGTCTAGGGAAGAGGCAGGAAGACGGCCCAGCCATGTGCCAGAAGCCACAGGTCACAAGACCTCAGGGATGGGGGAGGGCAGTGCTCCCAAGAGGTGAGAAAGGGGTCTCAGAGCTGAGCATGTAACATGGTAAATGGAGTCCAACAGAGACCAAGATGAGAATTTGGTGGCATCGTGGGGCCGAATCCTGACTGAGCAGGTCCAGCATGGGACGTAGTACGCCCAAATGGTGCTGAGAGCAGGGTCCCCTTTTCCTGTGGGGTGGAGGCAGGGCTAGGTAACTAAATTTTCCAAGCCAGTCTCCTGTAGTGTCATCTCCTCAGAGTCTGGGGTACTCACCACCTCTACTTTGATCCTGTCCAGACCCGAGGCCCCGGCTGGCCTGGCCTGTTTTAAGTAACGGGCACTCTGCGAACTCGCTACCCCACGCCTGGACAGTCTGTCTACCTGCAGGTTAACTGTGGATATAAAAACCTGTGACCTTTAAAATGAGCTTTAATTAACTGTTATCCTTAAGTGCGTTTATTGGTGTAAACAGAGAACGTTAAGAGATTCCAGGGAACAGCAGACTATGGCTGGTACATTGGTTTTTAATTCAAAAAAGAAATTATGATGCCAACGGCTTAGGTGGACAGCAGCTTGAGATGGGGGATAAAAAAAAGAAATATAAAGGCTCCCTAGTGACACCCCTCAGACCTGGTCTCAATTGTGTACTCTCTACGGGAAGGCAGAGCTGTCAAAACAGAACCAGTGACAGCAGTTGAAAACCAGCCCAGACAGTTCTGTGGCCAGGGACGCTGCATGCTCTGAGCCACGTCCAGCCACAGGTGCACACGTGTCCCTGGTCGCCTGGGTCTGCTGCTGGAAACCAAAGACAGAATCACTTCATGGCACTACAGATCTGGAAAAATAAAAATCTCAGCTAGAAAGAACATCTGATTTGGAGACTGAGGGAGGATGAAGAGAAGTGGGGGCTGCTGGTGGCTGCCAGGCGAGCCCCCGACTGTGGGTAGATGGTATGTGGTTGTGTTTTCAGGGTCACCCGTGGGATGCACGGTGTCCCCTCGGTGATCAGATGGGGACTGCTGAGAGGCCTGCCAACCGCGCCCGAGGCCTGGTGGGACCACAGCCAGAGAAGGCTGCAGCGCACAGGGAAGGCCCCTCCATGCCTCCTTCCTTCTGAATGCTTTACACAGAATTTCCTTAATTTGTGCTTCCCTTTGGTTTGAGAGTCAAAAAGAGGGAGGGAGAAAAGGGAAACATAACAGTGTTTGTCACTTGTCCACGACAGAGAAAAGGCGACAGTGGGCGTCAGACGTGCTGGTGGGTGCTCCCGGGCCTCGTGCGGGCCGCCACACTGAAGCACTCCTGGGACCATCATTGGCCTTTGGGGACCTCGCTTCTGTGGTGGGAGATGTGGACAGGCTCTGCAGTGGGATTTTAGTTATGTCACGGCCCAGAGACGGACACCCACCACGCTGGTCATCGCTGACGGTCATGTTGTCTCCAGCTTTCTCTCCAGGTATACAATGTGTGGGCCAGTTTGGCAGACGTTGCAGGAAAAATAGCAAATTCTTAACTTACTCCATCTCCAAAGTTGAAAAAGATCGGACAGTTACTAAAATAAACAATTTCTCAATTGTGTTCTGGTGGCCCTGGGCCCAGTGGCCGCAACAGGGGCGTGGGGGGGGGGGGGCCCAGCTGATGAGGGCTCACTCAGGGCAGGCACAGTCAGCTCGGCCGAGCAAGGCTCAGAGTAAGGCGGCGTTCCTCACAGAAGAACACATCGGAAAAAGCTGGTCTTCTTCTGCTGGTCTGGTGTGATTTTGACTCCCTGGTTGTTCCCCTGGGGGCTGTTGCCTTCCTGAAGTCACAAGAGGTTTTATGAGATTATGGCTCAGCGTCAGCACTATGCCTCGTAACAACCAACCACCTGCAAGTCCACCCGTCCCCTCCCACTCATCATCCATCCACCCAACCATCAATGAATCCATCCCCCCTCCAACCACCCATCTATCCATCTTGATTCCTCCTTCCCCTCCAAAAAACCACCCATCCATTCCCTTCCTGCTATCCATCCATTTGCTTCCTATCAACTGCACACTTGTCCATTCCCTTCCACCCACCTACCCATCCGACCACCACTTCCTGCCCTCCATCTACCCAACTGTTGCTCCCAAATGACAATTCATCTTTCACAAACCTGGGTATACTTTTTTCTACTACACCAACCCTTCCAACCCATCCATCTACCAATCACTTGTCCACCCACCCTCCCCAATGCCTTCCCATCTATTCACCCATCTCACTCTTTCCTTTATGTCCTTCTCTCCATTCACCCACCATTCTCGCCTTCTACCCCCACCAGTGAGGCAGCCAAGGGGCAGCAGACTCTGTCCCTTGGAATTTGGGGGTGTGGAGGCACTGAATTCAAGGTCTCAATACCACTCCCACCTAGATGGTCTCCATGTCTCTATGCTAAGGCTCTGGCTTACCACTTCTCCCCCGGTCTACCTTCCACTCTGCTGCAGGTGATATAAACCAGAAATCCTAACTCTGTCCACTCAGGCCTTGCTGAAAACACACCAGTGCCCCTGTTATCAGAGAGACTGCCCCAAATCTGTCACCCTGCATTCTAGGCCTCTGGGATCTGGTCCCTGCCAACTCTGGGAATGGAAATCCTATTTTCACCATGTCACTCTGTTTGGAAAGGTTCAGCCCCCCAACCCCTTTCTTTGACTAATTCTTTGTCATCTTTCAACTCTTAGGCAAAACCTGAGTTTACTAATAGTAACTCTTGAACGCCTATGCTGTGTCAGACACTCTTGTGGGCACTGGGCTTACAGTGGCAAACGAGCCCCCTGCCTTGGGAAGCTCACACTGTATGGGGGAGATGGAAATTATGCAGGAAAACAAGAAAGTGATTTCCCACTATGGTGAGGAATGAGAATGGCAGGGCAAGGGGTGGGGGTGCGCAGAGACCTGTTGAAGATAGCAGAGATCTCACACGGTGAGGAAGTGACACCTGGGACAGTTCAGCAAAGTAACGGCCCCCAAAGATGTCTGCACCCTAATCCCTGGAACCTGTGAGTATGGTACCTGACATGACAAGAGAGACTTTGCAGATGCAACTAAGGTGACATGGGGAGAGCAAGCTGGACCATCCAAGTGAGCCTCTCTAATTCCGTGAATCCTCAAATGCAGAGGAACCTCAGCTGTGGTCCAAGAAAGAGAGGTGATGATGAAAGCAGGGCCAGAGAGATGCTGGGTGGCTGGCTTTGAGGATGGAGGAGGTGGTTCTAGGGCTGGGGATGCAGTGCCCTCTAGAAGCTGCCAGGCAAGGAAATGGCTTCTCTCCTGGAACCCCCAGAGATGCATTCAGCCCTGCTGACATTCTGATCTGAGTCCACCGAGACCCACTGCAGACACCTGGCCTCTAGGACATGCAGGTAAGGAACGTGTGTGGGATGAGCCAAGAAGTCTGTTAAGGGAATTTGTTACGGCAGCCCTAGGAAACTAATAATGGGAGTGTACCCCAGGTGGGGGGGGGGAGAAGCCCAAATAAACATGGGGTGCTCCAAGAACAAGAAAGGGGCCCTGGGTGGTGTAGCTCAGTGGATTGAGCATGGGCTGTGAACCAAAGGGTTGCCGGTTCAATTCCCCAATCAGGGCATATGCTTGGGTTGTGGGCCAGGTTCCCAATAGGGGACATGCAAGAGGCAACCACACACTGACATTTCTCTCCTTCTCTTTCTGCCCTACCCCCCAAAATAAATAAATAAAACCTTAAAAAAAATAAAGCTGATACCCCATCTTAAAAAAAAAAAGGAACAAGAAAAGGCCAGCATGGCTGGCACACAGGGGGCACCCGGGAAACGGGAGGGTGACAAGGTGAAGTGAGTGGCAGCAGCCAGAGCACGAGGCCCGGCCTGGCGCGGCGTTCCGAGTCTGCCCTCAGTGCAGTGAGGCAGGGGGGCAGAATGCCAGGGGTCTGGGGGCGGGGTGGGCACGGGCAGAGCCCAGCTTTCTCTGACACTTTCAAGAGGAAGATGTGGGTGGGTAGAGCTGGCTGTATCCGCAATGAAAAAGATAAACATGAACTTGTAACTGGTAGATAAACAAGTCCTGGGGAATCTAATGAACAGCACTGTAATTAGAGTCAACAGTACTGTATTTTAAACTTCAGAGTTGCTAAGAAACTAGACCTTAATTGTTCTCAACAGAAGAAAGAAATAATAATTATGTGATGTGGTTAGAGATGTAAGCTAACACTACCAGGATAATAATATTGCAATATGTTAAAGTATCAAGCTAACATCGTACACCTCACACTTACACAATGTTGTATGTTAGGGATAAGAGAGATATAAAATAGTATGGGGCTGCAATGCTAAATATAAACACAAAGGTGGCAGGAAATCGACAGAAATTTAACTGTCGGTGATTTGCAATCCATTCAGAGAAGTCGCAGGGACCACGTGCCCTAGTAGGCCGTGGCACACTCTGGAGGCGATCAACAGGCCAGCGCCAGGGGCCTGGGCAGTGCCACTGTGACACTGAGTCCCACCATCGATGGGCAGAAGTAAGTCAGAAGGATCGTTCAGAAGCAGAATGGTACCACTGTACTCAAGGGAAAAGAAAATCACAGTTGTGAGGAAAATCTCTGTAAGAAAAGCATATTGTTTTACTCAGGCTGTTTTCCATTTTGGCCAAAAAGCTGCTATTTAATCCACCTTGTGACTTAAGATTCAACTCCTGGTATCTGAGAGTTATGAAAGTACATCCGTTTTAAATTGGTTGGCACCTACTTGAATGGCATTTCGTGTTGTACGAGTACGTGCACTCTTACGTGACGAGACCTGAACCAGCCACAAGGAGGGCACTGTGGAGCAGCAGCACTTGGCGAGGAAAGAGCAGCCACTGGGATGAGGCTCCCACACAACACTCACGGCAGCACTGAGGCGCCAAACACACCCGCAGTGACCACACCAGCACTGATTATGCCGGCTGTTAAGGACTAGGAAATGCCCGTGGGGCGAGCAAAAAAGCCAGAAATAAATGGAAGGGTGGATGGGAAGCATCCAGACAGGACCTTCTAGAGGTCTCACAGCCCTGGGACCCCCTAAAAGTTGTAGACTGTCACAAGCTGAAAAATCTGGGGCTGGCAGGGGGATAAAGGCTATCAATCTACCAGACTCATCAGGACAGATGCAGGACAAAAAAGGCCACATGTCCCCTGCTAGCCAGTGCACCTGGCAGGAAGGGCCTTGTCTGCTTGCACAAAGCTTGGAGCTGAGCAGCTCTGGGCTCCAGAGGAAGAACACAGTGCATGGGAACGTCTGGGAGCCAGGGCCCCAGCCACACCTGCTGCCTCTGCCCCCTTCCCAGCCACACCCTACTGGGCCCGGCCGGGCCCTCAAACACTGGAGCTGCCCGGGGCTGAGTCACACCACTGACGCAGGCTCCAATAGGGAACCATTCGGGGATCAAAAGGACACAAACTCACCAATTTTTTGTCCATTTTTGCTTTGATGTCTCTGGCGAGAGTGAAGAATGCCTGTGGAGTAAGCATGTTGTTAAAGCCCCATCAGCAGGAAGCAGATGGGAGCTTGCTGGTTCCAGGGCACCACCGCGGAATGGGTATGGTGGGACAGTGGGGCGGCTGTTGCACCTGTCCAGCCCCATCTCCTACTCCCACCTGCCAAGACTACCACCTCTCCTGAGCCAACAACCCTGGGAGGTGGATCGCCCCTGATAGGTCAGGGAGGAAACTGAGGCTCGGAGGGACCGAGTGACTGGACCCAAGGCATCCAGAGGTTAACTGGTCAATCTGGGAGGATCCTGCAGGAGAACCTGTCCTTCACTCCCGTGCCCTGCCTGTTTGCTTTGCCCCTGTTCTGATGGTCAGGGGCAAAGCAGGGAGAAAGTCAAACAGCTCTTTGGCCAGCAAGCTTCATTTTGGGTCCTCGCCTGACAAAGGCCTGGAAGGGCTGGGCTGGGGCGAAAGAGTTGTCTTCCAGGGATGGCGAAGGCTCAAGCTGGCCTGACCCCTGGCTGCTGCCTCTGTTGCAGCCTCCTAACCCCTTCTCCCCTCCCTCACCTGTTCTGTCGATGAATACTCATAAGCCACACTCTATCCCCCGGACCTCAGACAGAAGAGACTTGGCCTCAGCACCTGCACTCGAGGGGCTCCTGCTTTGGTGGGAAGGGCGGAGCCTCAGCAAACACCTGTGACATGGAAGTTCTGTCGTGGAAGGCAGGATTAGGGGTGCTGGGGATCCAAAGCGGTGGGCCTAAGGGTCTGAGGAAGGTGGAGGCTTCCTTGGGGAAGGGTCACTTGGGCCAGGCCCTGATGGAAAAGGGGGTGCGAGGTAAGGGACCATAAGTGAAGGCTGGGAGTTGGCCTGGGATTGAGATGGAGCAGTGGGCAAGGCCTGATCTGTGGGCTGCACACACGGCTGGGGGCTGCTAGGGAGGGCCTTCTAGGCCGGGTGTGGGAGGCTGAGGTTGGGAGTGATATACATAATCCATTTTAAAAAGATCACCAAGGTGGCGGGACGAAGGGGAAGGCAGGTCAGCTGCAAGGCTGGTGTTGTCTGTAGAGAGGAGAGGATGGCCTGGGCCAAGGTTTGGCCAGGACTCTATACTTTGTCTGGGCTTGTGTCCGGGACCTGTCTGTGTGGGTGGCATAGCCCAGAGCATCTAGGCGAAATTGGGCCTGGGTACCAGCCAGCTGGGACTCTCTGAGCCTCAGTTTCACCATTTGCAAAGCCCTGTCTGCTTCCCAGGGCTCCCAAGAGCCAGTGAGATAATGTCCCAGGTGCCCAGTTGCGGCCTGCACCTGCTGACATCAGAACACATGGGCAGTGGGGGAAGGAACAGCAGTCCAGGGTTGGCTGGGCACATCAAGGGGCCTAGCATATGGCCCTGTCCAGGAAGTGCCTCTTGGACAGATGGCCAACACGGCAGCCCACAGTCCATAGCCAGACTCCCTGGAGGTTGTAGCCTGACCCTCAGCCTCAAGGGGCTGGTGCTGTGGGCCTGGGACTCACGTTCTCCACATTGATGTTGGCCTTCGCACTGGTCTCCATGAACTTGATGCCATAGTCCAGGGCCAGCTGTGAGGGAGGGAGACACATATACGCACACATACACACACTCACGTCAGCCACTAGGTGCCCCCTACCCCCAGGAAGTACCCTAAGGGGGAAACAGCAATAGGGATGGGCTGGGGGCTATCAGTTTGCTCCCTGGAATGGACAGCAGGTGGTGACTATCCCTGGCAGGACAGCAGAGGAGGCCTGGCTCCAACCATGGCTCCATCCTCTGCTTCCCGTGGCCTCAATGGGTCCCTGTGAGACACCATGCAGGAACAGGCATAGCACAGCCTAGAAGCCCTCACCGCTCCCAGTCTTAGCCTTAGGCCTAGCTGGGCGTGTGCTCTCTACACTCTCTTCCCATGGCACGGGCCCCACTGGGGCGACCCTTTTGCCTGGCAAAGTCCTGTGACCTGGACCCCACTCCCAATCTTGGACAAGTGAAGATGGTAGGCCACCTTATGCTTATGAATATTCTGAGGAGTTTAGAAAGCAACTGGGGAGCCTTGTGCGGCAAGGAAGGGCTGGCATCCATGCAGGGAACCCCCAAATCCCAAGGTCCGCCTGCCTGAGGTGCCTGACAGTGCAAGGCCCAAGCCAGCCACCACACCCACCTTCTCTCCCCGTTCCTTGGACACTTGTCTCTTCTCGTTCACGTCGCACTTGTTCCCAAGTATCATCTTTTCAACATCTGCAGAGGCATGCTGGGGGAGAGACAGGCAGAGGACGTGAGAGGTGCCCTTAGACTGGCTCACAGACCTACCTGTGGCCTGACCCCCGAAACAGAGTGGTGGGGTCAGGACTTCGAGGTACACTCTTGTGCAGATGACAAGCTGAAACTCAGGCTGACTGGCCTGTCCCATGTCACCCACCCAGCCAATGCCAGGGCCAAGCATGGGGTTCTGGCTGCTTCTCTGACCATGGCCGCTGAGGGTGGCTTCTTCATGGGCTCCATCAGCCAGGCTCCCATGTCTGTCCCTGGGCTCCTGATGGGGTCTACAGGAGGTCCCACCGCTCACCTCCCTCTTCCTTCCAGGCTCCTCTGCTGTGAGCCCTAGCTGCTGTTCTGGGAGCTTCTGCCTCACTCCAGCTCACCCTCTCTGGGCTCTGGAACTGGGCCACGCCTGGGGTGGCACAGCCCTGGGTGCTTTGCCATCACTTGGCAATCCCTTAACTCTGACCTCACAGCTGAAAACGGCACATCTGTCCAATTTTCCATCCCCTCTTCAGCCCAGTGGCCCTGGCTTCCCGAAGGCTTGAGGCACCGGAGAGGACCCTATTCTTGCTGCAGCTCAGACCTGATCTCACTCAAATGCCCAACCCGGCTCCCTGCCTAATGTCCTGTCAACTAGAAGGCCCTCTCGCTGGCGGGAGCTTCCACAGAGACCACCATGAGCGTGGGCAGCTCTTCCTTCTCAGCCAGGCACAGCCACTGATGGCAAATGCGAATTGATGGGGAGGAGGCCCAGTGCAACTCCTTGTCACTGCAGGGCTAACAGTTACCGTCACTGTCACTGTGACCTGCTGTGGCTATCCTGGAGGGGAAAGTCCTCTGGCCATATTTCAGGCCCACGCCCCACCTGGTGAGTCATCAAAATCTGCCAGCACCTTTGTTCAAGGCTTTAGAGATAAACTCTATGGGGAGCAGGAAAGGGACAACACTGGCTTTGGGAGACAGAGCTGGGGCTGGCCCTTCCCCTCCCGTCATGGTTCAAGGTCTCCTTTTGAGCCAGCTGTGGTTCAAGTGCTGCGGGCCCGAGCATTGGCAGCTCACACCAGCTCACACGCCCACCCTACTGTGGCTCAAAGTACACCTGATACAGCTTCTCACCACACCCTCCAAAGATAAGGGAACACCAATTCTAGAACCTTCCTTTTCCAGAAAGCACCAAATGCTCACAGTGACTAAGAGCTCAGGTATGGCACTCCTCTTACCATGAAGACACCACCACACCAAACAGCCCAGATGGGGAGATGGGCTCTCAAGACACTGTGACCAGGCCTAGGCCAGCGTGGACTCTAGGGCCAACTGCCTGGACTCTAGTTCCTGCTCTAGACAAGTTCCTTGTGGGTGTCTCTGTGCCTCAATAACCCCATTTGTAAACCAGGGGGCTCCAGGGTGAGAGAATCAAGGAGAGGGCCAGTGGGAAGTTTCCATTTGTGAATGGGCATTCAAGCCTTACCTCCTCAATGTTCCGAATCCAGTTCCGGATGTTGTCAAAGGACTTCTCGTTGGTGATGTCATAGACCAGCATGATGCCCTGAGCGGGGGAGACAATGGTATGCTCTGGACAAGCTGCAAGTTCTCTGAGGGGATACCCCGCATAGGGGGCGCAGCAGGGACCTTGACATAGCAGGGACCTTGACATGACACCCTTCCCCACAACTCCCTCCTCTCTTCCTCAGCTTGGCTTCAGAACCAGCCTATCCCTGGTCTCCCAGGCTCTAGTCCTGACCCCTCAGCTACCAAGGTGACCCTTCACCCCACAGACCAGACCCCACCAATCCTATGCTCACAAACAACCTTGCTGACTTCTCACTGTAGGCAGGGTAAGGTATCTCACAGCTCCCCATCCTATACAGTGTTCCATGGCCCGGGCACGCTGGGCCTGCTCCCGCATGCCAGCTCTCCGCTGTGCTTGTCTTCCTCCATACCCTCACTCTTCCCCCTGCCCTAGCCCAGTTCACCCTCCGGGTTCAGGCAATGCAGCCTTCCCTGGGTGCCCCCCAAACTGCCTTGCATCTGGTACCTCCCACAGGCCAGGACACTGCAGAGAGGTCCCCCTGAAGCCTCACAGGCCTGGATCAGGTGGTCCCAACATCCCCACTCTGCAGATGGGGAACCCGAGGCTGTGGGGTGACAGGGCTAGATCCTTGTCTCTAGTCCCACAAGAGTAAAGGGCACAACTGGGGTCTGACCCCTGGGTGGCCTGATCCTGACCACCTCGTGCCTTCCAGCAACCCCACCAGAGTGGGGGCTGCAAGTGCAGAGCCGGCAGCACTGAGGCCTGGTGGTTCCATAACTAGTGTGTGGGGCCTGAGTACAGGCCATGGGTCCCCAAAGAGCCACAGAGTGACCCTGCCTGCACCTGATCCCCTGATCTCACCATCACTGGGAGGGGCAAATGGCCCCATTTGTTAGGGGGGAAACTAAGGTACAGAGAGAAATGACCTTCAAGATTCAAGCCCAGGTGGGGCCAACCCTGAGGCAGCTGATGACCCTAGCTCCTGTGAGGAACCTCTCTAGGTCCTCCTCAGGACCAAGCAATGCTCAGGGCCACCTCTGGTTGGTCCTCATGTGGCCCTGGACATCCTGAGGGTGCCCATGGCAAACCAGCCTGTGGTGCCATGTCTGCACCCAGCCTCTGAGCCACACGGCTTCAGCAATCCTGCCCAGGTCGGCTTGCCCCACTCTCTCACACTACCCACTTCCAGGGCCTAGTTCTGCATCCACAACCCCTGGTGTGGCCAAGATGCTGTCTCTTAGGCTGCCTGAATTTGCAGCATAAGAACACGAGCTGTGTGCACTGGGCGGAGAACCTCGGGGGTGAGGGTGTGTGGTAATACCACAGAGACAGGGCAAGAAAGCCACAGCAACTCCAAATCCCCACTGTGACTTCAGGGATATGCACAATGGCCTCACATCCAGCCACCGCCCCTCAAAAACACCATCCAGGGCCCTCATTCAGGGTCTCCTGGGGAACTGAATGGAGACCACTGCCGGGAGGCCTCAGAGGAGGCTTCAGTGGACTTGATGTCTGCCTCGCCTCAGCCAAGGCCAGCATGAGCAGAAGACATGGGGACAGACTCTGTGAGTTGAGCATAGTAGGGGTCTCCGCTCAGCAGCTTCACTCTGGCCATCAGGGGCAAGAATGCCACAGGGTTGTGAGGCCTTTTCACCCTTTCACCCGGGGAGTGGCCACTGTGACAGCTGAGAGGCCTCACTGCCACCACTAAGTTGGCACCATGTACTGAGATCCCAAGGTCCTGGATTTTTACCTATAGGTCAGGGGGCGGGGGGTGAAGAGGGCAGTGGATAGAGCTCTCTATCAGAAAACAGGAGAAGTACCTGGAAAACATGGTGTCATCCTATTCCAGGTCCCCCCTGAAACTCCCCTTGGGGCACCCAGTGACCATTTTCTTGGCCCCTGTCTGGTCAGAGCTCCCCATAGCTGCTCGTAAGCTCAAAATGGGACACCAGACAGCCAATGCTCCCATTTTTGAGACCTCATGGTCTAGCATCACACAGACACAGAGCAAGATGGGGCAGCAATGGTGGCAATTGTTCTCTGCACTGTCCCATGAGATCACTGCTGGCCATACACAGCGCTGGGGCACCTGCAGTATGGCCGGTGAGACTGTGGAGCTGGATCTCCTATTTTAACGGACTTGAATTCAAACAGTCACACGTGGCTAGTGGCTTCTGTATGGGTTAGTACAGGTCTAGGAGAGTCACAAGTTACAGTGTCTTAGGACCAGTCTTCTTACAGATGGCCCAGTCCAACTTGGTAAGGGGTGGGCTAAAGATGTGGGCGCGGGAGAGAGCCTGCTAGGACTGGCCCAGCCACGTGCTCTCTGCATAACTCAAGCTGGACATGCAATGGCACCAAGCCTCAGCTTCCCCACCTGTGTAACAGCCATGGCACCCACACTCAAAGAAGTCAGGGAATTACGGCTGAGATCTTAGCCCACTGCCAGGCACAGGACAGGGCTTTGTGAAGGGGGCGAGAGGGGCGTTCTTTCAGCCTAGAGAAGGACAGAGCCTACCTGAGGCCATACAGCAGAAGCTCTCCCAGGACCCTGGTGCCCTGAGGTCCCCGCCTCACCAGAGCACAGCAAGGTGAGGGGAAAATTAGAAAATTAATTTTAATGAGGAGAGCTAAGGTTGCAATCCTTGTGCTTGAGTTTCTATTGTTTCAGATGCTGTGTGGGACACTCTAAATACTTAATGCCTCCATTCATTCCTGCAGTCCGCAGCATTTCCTGGGCCCCCACCACCTACTCAGCACAGTCCCAGGCACAGGGCATCTGGCAGTGACGGAGACCTGGCCCTGCCCTCATGGAGCTTATGGCCCAATGGAGGACACCAGAGTCTCTGCAGTTAAATGACAGGGTGTACCGTGGAAAGGGCACGGCAATGGGGAGATGGCCATCTGTCTTCCCAGCTGCCTGGGTCATAGTCCTGTTCTCATTTCACTTTGCAAGTAAGGAGACAGAGCTCAGAGGATGACCCTCAGGTTGCTGAGGCAGGTCCCGGGGATCTATGTCTGTTCCCCCTGGCCCAAGTGCTCTGCTCTGTACATGCCTCACGAATCCATGACCTGCTCAGAGCCCTCGTGGTAGGACCCTGGCCCATTCCAGGTCCCCCTATCCATCCAGTTCAAGCCTGGCCTGGAGAAAGCACTCAGTAAACATATTTGAGGGATGATGAACCAGTCTTCCGATCACATCACCCCACACTGGGCCCAGGCAATGAATGTAACGGCCCACGGCCCAGAGCAAGTCAGCTTTTGGACCATCTTCAAGTTTCCAGTAGCGAATTCCATAGACTGACATGGGCCAAGTGAACACTCCTAAATGTTGGGGCTTGCCATCTCTGATTTCGCTGACCTCACCTGGGAAAACCGGCCTCCTGCGTTTTCCTTCGTTCCCAAAGCATTAGATTTCCTTATACCCTGCATTGTCTCTGAAGCAAAAAGGGGATTTATGCATATGGGGGAGGGGCACACAGCCGCTTCCTAAAACTAACCCGGGACCAAGGACCACTGAGGAGCAAAGCATGGGGCTCCTCAGAAATGGCCAGGTTTTGGTATCTAAGCAATGACTTTCACTTTGACTTAAAAGCAATAAACACCAACCCATACCATTGCGCCCCTGTAGTAGGCCGTTGTGATCGTCCGAAACCGTTCCTGGCCAGCTGTGTCCCTAAAGAGAAGAAGGCGTATCAGTGATGTTGTCACAGTGGGAATGAAGGGCATTTACCTAATGTGCTGCCCACGGATGGACGCTTGGCTTTCTCCTGGGTCAACTGATTCACGGTCCTGCTGTGGGCAGCACTCCCTGTTCTCCCAGAGGGAAACTGTGACTTAGACGGGTTAAGAACCTGCTGATGTCTCCCAGGAGGGTGGGGTGAGGGTGGGAGTGGGGAGACAGCAGAGCCACCTCTCCTGCACCTCTGTTTCCTAGGGATTCACCCTAGAAGAGCCATGGCTGGATGTTATTATTTGTGAAAATCTGGGACCACAATTCGGAGAGGGGCTAATCACGTGGCATGGAAACCCAGCCTTCATTGGTGGGCTGAGCTGGGTGACCTCAGTGAGGACACAGGAAGCGCTTCCACACCACCTCAGTGGAGGCCACGGAGAAAGTCTTTTCTCATCAATGTGAAGGAGATACCTGGGTAAGACGAGCCTGTGCCCAGCTCAGCTCCTGGCAGGGAGGGTATTCATTGCTTGGCTTAAAGGCTGATTTAACAGATTGGTGGCAGAGCCAGGACAATCTTTTGTCTCTGGGCCCAAGGATGCTCCTGTGACTCTGCACCCACCACCCCGGGAGGGCTCTTCAGGCCTAGATTCAGCCTCCTGTGGGACTAAGCTGACTTTCTGACGCCAACAGCAGGTGACATTTGTGGTTGATCATTTTGTTTTCAACCATGGCCTCGTCTAGAAGTTTTAAGAAAGTCACTAGCCTCACCAAGATTGCTAAGAACAGAAGCAAGACGACAGGAGGAAAGGAGAGCAAAACTCTGCTTGCTGGTACCATGTCACTTGGGCCCCAAGGCTGCTGGGGAGCACAAGTTCTAAGCAGAGGAAACTTGCATGGTTTGTAACTGACAAGGCGGCTAGAGCTGCCAGGCATGGAAACCCAACCCTCACATTAGGTTTCATCCAGATTCAGAGGTGACCACCACTGAAGTCCAGGGGGTCTGTGGAACAAGCTGGGGTGATCCTCATGCCCTCAGGTTTGAGGATGAGGGGGATCAAGCTGCAGCCGGAAGGGAGTGGCTTTACAGTCCATCTCATGACACTCCCTTCCACCCACCCACAGGCACTACCATCCTATAAAAAAATGACTTCATTTTGCTCAGGGCTCATGCTTCCCTGCAAGTGATGTGGCCGCAAGGGTTCCCTCCACCTGAGGTCAGCCCTAGCTCCCAGAGTATGGGCTGCAGATCAGCATCAGTGCCAGGGGCTCACACTTCTCTAATTTTATGCAGCAAAGAAGTCAGGTCCAGGTGAGTGGAATGGAAACAAGTTTCACCATTGGGCCAAGCCTCAGCTTATTTTTGGTTCTGGGGTTTCAGATCTGCATGTTAGGAAGTGAGGCCTGGAGAGAAAAGAGGAAGTGGCACAGGCCTTCCTCAGTGAGCCGATGGGCTCAGAAGGAAATGCTAGTCGGGGCATCTTGCCCTCCTGGCAGCCCCCAGCACCACTGGGCACAGGGGGCTCTCTCCAAGCTCAACAGGAGCAGTCCACTCCAAAACCCAGACCCAGGCTGTGCCCACACTGAAACACTGAGATAATGGGCCTTGTAGCTACGTCCCCAGAAGGTGCTGACACAGACGCTGGGCCCTAGCAGCCCGCAGAGCACAGTTCGTGAGGCTTCTGAAGGCAGTGTCTAGGCTGGGCACAGAGAGATGAGGCTGTGCTCACAGGAGTGGGAGGGGATACCAGGGGCTTCACTTGTAGTGCTTTCCAGGTAAAGGCAATGACTCTTACCATATTTGTAGTTTAATTCTCTTGCCATCGAGCTCTATAGTCCTAATTTTAAAGTCAATTCCTGAAAGAAAAAAGGAAAAGAGGCACATCACTGTCAGCCCATTTCCCAGGTTGCATTTGAGGTGGGTGCTGCCAACCTGTCAGGGAACAGCCGCACAGCTAGCGCTGGGCATGTAGGACCATGAACTCCTCTCAACAAATCAGGAGGCACCTGGAGAACTTTCTCCTCTTAGGGAAGGGGCAGCTGAGGTTCAGAGGGTGGACAGGAGTTTCCCAGAGTGAATCCAGCAGCTGGCAGGGCTGGTGGGCAAAGCTAGGTAGCTCAGATGCCAAAGCCTTGCTTTCTTCCCTTCCCCAACAGGTAGCCTCAAGGAGTGGGCCCTGCAAAGCCTTTGTAGGCCAGATACTCACGCTTCCCAACCCCCCACCTGGGGCCCTCCAAGCACTCAGGGCAATGGGCCCCAAGATGCTGCTGATACAGGTGCCTCGAGCTTTTGTACATACTGTTCCTGATCTGCGGTGGTCCTCACCCTGCCCACCTATCAGCCTGGCAAACTTTTTTCTCCTTTGAGAGCCATTTAAGATCACCTCCCAAGAAGCTTTCCTGACCCTGCCCTCCTCTGTACCACCCATCCCTTCCCCCATGACCAGGGCAACCTCTCAGCCTCCTCGGCTGCTCTCCAGGCTCCTTCCACTGCTCCCTCAGTCCCTTCCCCGGCTTCTGAAAACACAAACTCAACCACATCACAAAGCTAACCTCTGCTCCAAATCTTCCAGTGGGTTTGCCAATAGGTAAGTGGATAAATGAAATGTGGTCCATCCACCCGGTGGAATATTACTTGGCCACAAAAAGGAACAAAAGACTGACACACAGAAAGATTAGCAGGTGCCAGGGCTGTGAGGGAAATGAGGAGATAGGGCCCCATGAGTTGGAGGGTAGGGTGGTGGTATGACTAAGGGGTTTGGAGTTTCTTTTTGGCATAATGAATTGTCCTAGAGTCAATGTGGTGATGGTTGCACAACTCTGCGAAACGAGTAAAAGCCACCAAATTATACACTTTAAATGGGTGAGCTGTATGGTTTGTGAATTGTATCTCAATAAAACCATTATACAACACCAAAACACCTTCCCAGCACTTCCCACCATGCCCTCGGCACCAGAAAAAGTGAAACAGTTGCCTGTCTAACCTGGTCCCCTCTCAGCACCCACAGCTCATGTCCTCCTCTCCAGCCACATCTTGGCTACACCACCCATGTAGCTGTTTCCTAACCATCCCAAGCATACACTGGCCTCAGGCTTTTAAGCTTACTCTCCCCTCCCTTGGAATGGTCATTCCTTCCATGCTCACCTGGCTACCCACCCCCCTTCACTCAGATCCTTGTTCGAGTCACCTTCTCTGGGGAGCCTTCCTGACCACCCTCATTCTCTCTCTACTACCTGCTTTTCTTCTTTACTCACTTATCCCTGACACTGTATATTTGCTTATTTGTTCCATGAACATCAGGAGCAAAACCTGCCTTTATCAAATGGCCTGTGTGAAGGGAAATGGTCAAACCCAGCCGATGCCTCTGGGAATTTGTTCTAAATCTCTGCCTGCGAAGCCTTGAGGCTCAGGCCTGACTGACTTGAACCCTCGGAAGCCACTATGGTGATGCTAATTCCATCCCTGCCCACCTCAGGATCTGTTCTGGGGAAAAGAATATAAGCTTGTACTCAAATTGTGCCCACTAGACCATAAGCTCCAGGAAGGGAGGGACTCAAAAGTTTTATGGCCACGTGTCCAGTGACAGCGTGGCAGAGGCTGAATATGTACTTCCTAGAAGTGCAGTCCTGTACACACAACTTAACTACAGGCCTTCTGACAGTTCTGCTTCCCGCAGATTCATCCGAGTCACTCTCCTGCCTCCATACCGAGGTGGACACCTGGCATGCAGCAGGCATCAGGGAAAGATGGCTGAATGAAAGAATTAAGAGTAATGGAATCTACATGGTGCTGCATGGTTTACACAGCACCTTCCCCTATGCCATCCATTTCCATGAAGAAATGAATGAACAGGGTCTTGAGGGGGTCCGGGGTGGGAGCTGAGCCAGGATGGGGAGAACCAATTCCAGTAGCCACAAGGCCAAGTTCACACACCACAATCGATGGAGCTATAAGAACAGGGTTTGGCAAAATGTAATCTGGGCTAAAAATGAACAGCCACTTAATCCCTGATCTATAAAGAACACCCAGAGGTATACTCAGTGCCAATGGAGAATCCCTTTATGCATTAAGTTGCATTTCAAGATCAAATGGCCCAGTAACACCCCTTCCTAAAATACCCCCTTTCCCATCACAGATACACCAGGACCTATGGAATCAAGAAGCACCATTTAGCCCTGGCTGGAGTGGCTCAGTGGATTGAGTGCCAGCCTGTGAACCAAAGGGTCACCTGTTTAATTCCCAGTCAGGGCACATGCCTGGGTTATAGTCCAGGTCTCCAGTTGGGGGTGTGCAAGAGGCAATCACACATTGATGTTTCTCTCCCCCTTCCCCTCTGTCTAAAAATAAATGAGCATCTTTAAAAAAATAAAAAAATAAAAAAGTATCACTCAATTGGCAGAGACCCACATCACTCTGCCCTATTCTCCTCCTGAGTTTTATTAACACACCAAATTTAATTACGTAGTATAAACTTTACAAGGCCTAAGAATTATGAGGCTGTAACTTCAAGGTCAGAGTAAATTAAACATTCCTAGATGACACAGACTAGCAGGAAGAAAAAAACAGAGTGGAAGGGAGATAGAGATCCTGGGTTCAGGTGCCACCTTTACCTTCCCAGGTAACCTTGTCCAAGTCATGGTCTCTTCCACAAGTGGAAGCCAGCCCCTCAGAGCCCTGAACTGCCAGCCTGGATTTTGTGGTCAAGAATCAGAAATCAAACAAAAAAACCCATCTCTGAATTGATCTTACTAGTGCTTGTGCTGAACAGGAAGTTTCTGATACTGGGAAACTGAGATCAGAGTTGAGAGTGACGCACTGCCTGCCAGGTGTTAACATCACTTCCTGATTGGTAGGGGCACAAGGGTTATCCCAAAGTTTGACCTTGGAGTTGGGGAGGGAAGGAATCAGAAACACCTATGCCCTGGGGAGGAGCACTTTCACTACAGGAACCATTCTGCTTCCCCTTGACCACCCAGGGCAGTGGAGACACCCTCCTACTCATTGAATAGTTTTGATCTTCAACCACCCAGGACACTAAACAAGGCGGAGAGCCTTCTAAACGGAAGAAACAGGCTCAGAAAGGTGGATTGTTCAAGAGTGAACAACAGCTGGAAATCAGGCATGAAGATATCCTCTACTTTGCACCTGGCACCTAATTATTTTGCAAAGTGCAGCTCCTGAAGGAGAGCAATGAACAGTTCATTGTGGGGTTCAGGTGATAACTTGATTGGGTTCAAGTTACACAGGCCTAAGGCAGAGCTTGTTCCCTAGGTTTTCTCCATCCAGAAACAATTCCTGAGCTTGGCAACTGTTCTTCCACTTCCCCACTGCACAGCAAGGTTGCGGAGACTGGTGTTACACCCAGGTCAAAACTTTTTGTGTGGGCAACAGCTGTCTCTGTGGCATGGGGAGAAGTGAGCTCCACTTTTGTGACTGTCGGAACTGAAAAGCAACAAGCCAATTCTTGTTCAACCACAAGGTGAGCTGCCCTTGCAGAAAACGATGTTCTGCAAAGTGACAACTGGTCTTGGGCTTAGTGATAGGGAAGTCAGAGCTGTCTGTGGCAGCAGCTGATTTTGGTTTCTCACTGAAGCTTTTATCAAGCATCTCCCCGGAGATGACAGGTCCCAGGGAAGGCAGCTGTCACTTGCCACTACTGTGACCAAGTGGGATAGAAGGCTGGGCAGGGAAAGGTTCTGGACTCCCTCTCACCACTCCTCCTAGAAGAAATTCACTCATGGGGGAGAAGGGGCTTAACTCCTGTGTATTCCAGAGGAAAGAGCAAAAGAAAGCTGGGTTAGAGTCCTGGCTCCAAGGTGGATCAGCTGTGCCAGTTTTGTGTTCAGACACACATGGATTTAAATCCCATCTCTGCCACCTGCAGACTATGACCTTGCACAGGTTCCAACCCTCCCTGAGCCTCAAATTCCTCATCTGCGAGATGGGGTCATAACAGACCTAACACATAGGACTGGAGAGTGTGATAATGAATCTATATAGCACCTGGCACACAGCAAATTCTTAATAAGGTCAGATGTCACTGGCCCTTTTCCACAGCTAACTCCCCATGCCTCAGTTTCACTCCTGCAAGACACGGACCCTAAAGAACAACGTCAAGAACTGCTGTGAGGACCGAACGAGATGAGGGGCACCAAGATCCCAACCCAGAACATATATTCCTTGAAGAGCGGGCTGAGAGTTGGAGCCTCAGTCTTCTCACCTGCAAAATGGGCACTTGGTTGCCCCCCACCCCGGCCCAGGAAGCCCCGAAAGGCGGCGGAGATCGCTGCTCTTCCCCCACTTCGAACGCCTGGACCCTCTTAGATTCCTGGGTCCGTCCGGCCCGGCGCTCCCTCAACTCCAGCCTCTCAAGGGCGCGCCCAGGCCGGGCCTCCGGCGCCCCCGACCGCTCCCCGGCCCCGCTACCTATGGTGGAGATGAAAGTGGAGTTGAAGGCGTCCTCGGAGAAGCGGAACAGGACACAGGTCTTCCCCACCCCCGAGTCCCCGATCAGCAGCAGCTTGAACAGGTAATCGTAGGTCTTCGCCATATTACACTCTCTCCCCGACGGGAAGTGCGGCCAGTGCCTCGCCACTGGCCGCTGGCCCCGTCCATCAACGCCCAGTCCTCTTCCTATTGGCTCTCAGCCTGCCGCGCGTCACCGCGACTGACGCCCGCCCCCGTGCCCCGCCCGTCTCGGGGAGTCGTGGGGATGGGGCGAGCGGGGCGCGTAGCCGGAAGCGACCCAAGAGCGCCGCTCATTGGCCGACGCTCAGGACAGAGCGGGCTGCGATTGGCCAGAGGTGAAGAGTCGAGGGGCTTCAAATGAAGACCAGGGCAAGGGGCGTGGCACTCCGTGTCCCCGCTGTCTTCCCGGGACTCTAGGGAGTCCCCGCCTCGCTCCCAGTGGGGAGGGGGAACGCTGGGAGCGTCGCCAACCGCTCCACGCCCCCGCAGGTCCAGGGCTGGGCAATCTTGCGCACGCGCGACGGCAAACCGTTAGACGCCAGCAGAGGGCGTAGGATCGTGGGGTCTCTGGCTCCCGCCTTCGCAGCCTGCGCAGGCTCTGTAGGCGCCTAGAAGAGCGCGGGAAGGCTCCGTGGCTCGAGTGCTGGGGTTTGGAAGCCTGAGCGTCGGGCCAGGAGGATCCGAACAGGAGAGTAGGGAGGCCACCCCGATACATGCTCTGGGATCTCGGCGATAGCCACAGGACCTCTTTAAAGAACCCAAGCCTTTGCCGCCTGAGCGAGCGGGGACAATTCCAGACCTCCCTCGGACCTAATTAGAGGTTGTCCAGGGTACTCTGCCTCGTTTTTACCTTGGAGCTTCGCCCCAACCTAGTCAGCCTTCTGGGGCTCAGCACCAGCCCAGTGGGTTAGGATACTGAGACTTCCAGGTAGTATTTAGGAACGTTGGTTCTATACCTGCCAGTGGTGGAAACAGTAAAAAACAAAACACCAAAATGTTTAATCCCCATCCTAACCCACTGAGGTAAAAATTACTGTTTAATGACATTTTATGGTGAGAAAACCGAGGCCAGACTAAGTGACTCTCTCAGGCCCCAAAGTGGGCAAGCTGAGTTTTGAATTCAGATCCATCAGCTTGAGGCCAAGAAGCTTCTTGATCACTAGGGTTTCCTGCTTCTCAGAGATGGTCCAAATTTCTTGCGTGGCCTCAGTGCCTCGTGTCACTCTGGGCATCAGAAAGCCAAGCAGGACCTTTCAAGAGATGGCCTCAGGCTCTCCTCCCTTGCACTTCAGCTCATTCTGTTGATCTTGTCTTGGAAAAGCTACAACCAAAGCCATAGACCACTTTGTAGGCTTCAGCGCCCCCCTCCCCCATGGTATTTGATGCTTTTGACCACCCACTCCAGCAATTTTTCTTGCCATTTTCCCCATTTTATATCCGTTTCTTCACCTGCCGCCTACGCCTCCCTTTCTCTGGGTGCTGCTTCTCGAACTCCCTTGCAGTCTTTAGGGGAGTTTCTGCTTGTTCCCTAGATGTTTGTGTGCCTCACAGTTCTTCCTGTTTGCAGTTTCTGGGTGACCCCACTCACTCCCCCTGTGGCTTCTAGTATCTCTCCACACTGGTGATTCTCACTTAGAGACTCCATAGCCCAGCCATCTCTCCGTGTCCAACTGCTTTTTCAGCATCTGCCACTGGACTGGTCAGTCCTTCCGATTCAGCATGTCCACAACTGACCTCATTCACACTAGCTTGTCCTGAATTACTTTCTTGCCGAAACCCAAGTTGTCTTTGAGACTTTCGTTTCATCCCACACATCCTGGCTCTCAGAGGTTCTAAGCTGCTCCTGAATCTTGCTCTCCTGTTCCCATTGCCCCTCAGTACCTCACATCTCCCATGGGCCTCCCCAATCATATTCTAATCCCGATTCTGCCCTGCAGTATGCTCATTCTAAAACTCACCCAATATCCACCCATGGTTGGTGGACAAGATCCTCCTCACAACCCGATCCTAACCGCCCCCTGTGTTCCACCCACACTTCATGGGACTGGGAACTCCTCAAGAACTGAGACAGGCCAGTTTATACACACTGACGCCCAGGCACAAGGACGACCAAAACAATACCCTGATTAGACTACAGCCCAAGGCAGTGGGGCAAGGGAGGAGTAACTTGTCTAGTAGTGGTAGCGCATTTAGAGGAGGGGGTTATATTTTAGCGACATTCTCATCTACCATTGAAACAAGCTCAGTGTCAGCTAGATGTTGAACGGCAGGAAACGTTTTCAGTTGTACTTGATAACAAAAGTGTTCGCATACTGCATCCATGTTTTGAAGCAGGGGTGTCAAACTCCTTTTCACTGGGGGCCACATTAGCTTTGTGGTTGCCTTCAAAGGGCCGAAATAATTTTAGGGCTGTATAAATGTAACTACTCCTTAACTGTTAAGGAGTTGAAATTACATTTAGCCCTTTGAAGGCGACCTCAAGGCTGATGTGGTCCCCGGTGAAAATGAATCTGACACTGCTGTTTTAAAGGCTTTCACTTCTTTTTGATTCCCTTGCCCCCTTCAAGATCAGATTTTGAGGCAAATACCAAAGCAATTCAGGTAGTTAAACTGCAGTCATCTTTGACACTTTAAGTTTCCTGCTATCCAGTTAGCTAAGTCTTAAGATTACATCCTTCAGATCACTTCTTCCTTCTTACTCCATGGCAGGTACTACAATAGAAACATTTCTAACTCATCTTCCTGCCTCTAGTCTATCGCCTTTTCAGTCCTTCCTGGAAATGAATGCCAAGTGGATTTTCCTAAAGTTAGTGGCTCTCCACTCCTGACCAAATCAAGTCCAGGCTCTCAGCAAGGTGGATCCAGCCTATCTACCAGCTTTCCCATTTCTCTCCTTTGTATGTGCAACACACAGACCTTTCCCAGGCAGGCCTGTGCTTTCCTAACTCGAACAACAGGGACCCTCTTTCCTGTTCTTAGCCCAGCTGTGAAAATCCTACTCACTCTTCACAGCCTGGCCCAGGACTGAGGATCACAAAGGACAGGAGCATTTGAGTTACTGAGCCAAAGTGTTCTCACTGTAATAAAGAGATTATAATCCTTATATCATGAAATCGTGGTGTAAAGCCAGTAAATAAAATTTGCTGAGTTCATGGCACGATTATCTTGCCATCCCATTCATTAAACCAAAATGCCTTATATGTCCCCACACATTCTAAAATTCACACAAACTGTAGTTTATGTAAAAATTTATTTGACCAAAATGTAGAAAAAGTGATACTATTACATATGATACAGTTGCAAGAATCTAAATGGAAAGTGTGGGTTTTATTCCATTGCACAATTTGCTAGTGTATCTCCTGGGTAGTGTGATGCGCAATAAATAGGAGTGAGGGGCAGAGGAGCCGGGTAAGCCAGAAGCAGGGTGATTTCTAGTCAGAACTGTAAACTTGAGTTTCCCCCCACACTGCTGGGGAATAAGGAATGTTTCAGCTGAGATGTTAACTGAAAAAACAAAAGTACAACAAAGCCAAATGTGCAGCCTTGTCTATAAAATACTCCATATCCAGTTGAATCAGGAGTTTCCTGGTCTTTTATTAACTTGGTCCTGACAAAGGCATTAAAGTCCTAGATAAGTAAATCTTCAATTTACCATTCCCTAAATTAAGAGATGAAGTTAGGCCAGTTACTTTATCTCCACTGCCACAGAGGCCCCTTCTGCTTAACATTTAATGGGAAAATGCTCTTGCTGTTTGTTGATGGCTAGCAATCTTTTTGATATGGCTTCCTGAGCAGGACTGGATTCTACCATACTCATTCCTGCTGAGTGGATGGCCTCATATCGGAGTAAACATGGTGGCTATGTCTCAAGCATTCCCACACTGACTGCTCAGGGGATGTTTGTTCTGCATGGTAGAGTGCGGAAAAGGGAATGCTTAGATTAATCTATCTATGGGTATGGCTTCCCACAATAGCCTAACCCCCTTTTCTCTGCTCTGGATGGAAAATCTCCACCCGCTTTGGTGTGCTGGTCCCTGGCCTCCTGCAGTGTGTGTGACGGTGGCCCAGAAGTTCTGCTCTTCAACCTTTCACACTGACCAGTGACTAGATGTTAGAGTCTGTGCTTTTAAAGCGTGGGTTTGCCTAATCTTCCAGGAACCAAATGCCTTCGGTCTGAAAAGACTAATGCTCAATAAGAAACACCCTGCCTAGCTTAGAATCAAAATGCAATGTAAGAATAAAAATAGAGCTGAAAAATCTGGTGCCATTTGGGGAAAAGGGGGGAGGAATTAGATTAATGGTGCTCAAAGCTTCTCTGATACAAAATATTTGGTCAGATATTCATAATTTGCGCAGATGCGGTAACAAAAGAAACTTCTTACAAGAGAAAGACACGGAGGTCTAGAGCTTCTGTTGGAGCAAGACTCTTCTGTATTTGGTTATATACAGTTAAGTTCGTTTAGTGTCTGATCCAGTGTCTGATGCAAGCCCACGTTCTCTTCTTTGGCCTGGGCAAGTTTTTCTGGTGAGGATTAAGAGCGGGAGAAAAATAAATTAATAAGCATCTATGTTAAAGGTGGGGGGAAAATGGTTTCTTAAAATCCATACTGTCAGAGCAGAAATCATAGCAGAGAAAGGACTTTGCATTATAATTATAATAGGACACCATGGAATAATAGAGCTCAAGAACCAAACTAGGAGTCAGATCAGATTGCCAGATTAAAATATAGGGTGTTCAGTTAGATCTGAATTTCAGATAAACAGTTTTTTAGTATTCATATATCCCAAATGCTGCATGAGATATACTTATGCCAAAAAATTATTCATTGCCCATCTGAAATTCAAATTTACTGCGCATCCTGTATTTTAATCTGCTGTATCTGGCAACCCTATAGTCAGAACACCTAGATTAAGCCCCGGCTATACCATTTAACCTTTCTAGATCTCAGTCTCCCCATCTGTTAAATGGGGATAGCAATACCACTGTGAGTTACTATGAGAAATGAGAAATGCTTCAGAACTTAGGAAGTATTACACAAACATAAGATTTTAGTCCTAGATATGGGTGACTCAATACATTTCTTCCCCCCTAAAGGCCAGTTCATTAGTCCTTGAGCT